AAACCAATTTTTACCCTATAAAACCCCCCATAAGCCCCTGTTCCCATAATCCGATCATGCTGGTTTGTGAACTCGTTCGAATAATCACGTTTGTACCAAATTTCATAAAAAATTCATTTTTTGCTCGAGTTGTCTCGCTAACGGACACATATATAAATATATATATATGAATGTGAACGAATGGTGTTTTTGGCCTCTAGGGACCTCAAAACGAAAAAGTAAATCGGTCCCGGGTCCAGGTCTTACCATGAGTACTACCACAGCCACCTCTAATACAGTACTACGGTAGTTTCCATATGGGAAATTCGCTAAAAGTTAAAATTGCACAAAACGGTCAATTGATCCGAGGCTCAGTTATATAAATGAAACTATAACATCACTTTAAAACTATTTGAATTTGGAAAAACTCGCAGAGAAGACATATTGTACGGAATAATTGAGCTAGTTACCCTTTTTATGCTTCCCTAACTGTTCAACTAGTCGGAAGTAAACTTAGGAAATTTATTCTCAGAATAAGAAATCGAGTTCGTGAATAGGACTTTAAGTTATCTCCTCTTTATAAATGTTTCCCTGTAACGGTATGGCGGATATTTTAAACGAGCAGCATGGGACTTAAAGTTAGAGAAAGATATACATAAGGAACTTTAAAGACCAAACTTTTTATACATGATGGCGGCCTAAAATCTCAATTTATCAATGGTTTTCTCCTATCTAACGCCAACCAGTTTTGATGTAATGTGGAAAAAATATTACTTGCAAGTTATTATAATAATTGGCACTGTTCACACCAACCAATTAATTGTCCCTAAAAACTGGAAAGTAAAAGTAAGTGTTATATTGCACTTCATACATCCTATTACTGTACTATTAGACTGCTAGTGCTTTTGCCGTTACTTAGAAAATTATCTACTTACAACATGACAATAATTCATTAGTGAATCTTCAGCGTATAAAAGATCTAACAAATTTAATAAAAATGGTCCAAAAACAATTGAGCTAAAACATGTTCATGTATATATCAAACACAACACTCAACTTGATAAACTTGAATAACTTGAATTAGCGCACCAACGGTTTAATCACGTGAAAATTTACTCAATGGACAACGCTTATTCAGAATATCTAAATGTGTATGATTAAATTATATAATCCAATAGACTCTTTAACAGGACGTTCTACCCAACTGGGCAAATGTAAAAGCGAAGCATTCTGCTCGACCAAACAATTAATAATCAACGTATAAACGCGTAGTTCTGCTTGAAAGCACAGTCCCGAATATCCGCATGTTTGTTGTTATTTCAGAAGATATCTAGGTTAAATAATAGAGGTGTTACAAGTGACAAACCCAATTTTGGGATTTTTTACAATTTTATTTTATTGGAAACTGTACTGATCAACAAATATATTGAGCCGATCTGGTACAGGAATTATTTGCACATTTCCGATAGGTACCAAAATCCTCATAAGCGTTTTTTTCTGAATCAACTAGACTCATTGTTTTTAAACCCCCTTAAAAATGACTTTTGAAGTTATAAGAGCTTATAGGGTTGGTAGGGCACTAACGTCAAAACAAAACATTTTAAACTCAAATTTAACTTCAGATTACACCATAAAAACAAAAAAACAGACTTATTTGCAAAATCGGAACAACGGTGAATCAGAAGTGAAAATGGACGAGAGTACGATATTAATTTTGATGCACTTAAAAACATCTTCACCACGCTGCAATGTAATTAGATGTGCTTCCGACCCAGTGACTCTTTCAGCCTTCTCGACTTTATCTAATAAACCTTTTGATGTGGTTACACCAGACTTAATTTACAAGCTTCTTTCAACTCAACTCGCTCGGCTCGTCTATACATGATGACCTTCATCAAATGTATTGAATTTGACAAATTTTGTTCCCTAAGTTTGTGATTAGTATTTTCCAAACCATTCGCAATTTAGCAGCCTTTAGACTCCGGTGAACACCTTATCTATCACTCGGCTATCAAGAAAATAAAATTTTTATTATTGTAATCAGTGGCGTCATTTCACCAAATCCTTGGGGGCGGGGGGGGGGCAAACACCGGGAAGTCTGGAATACCCCCCAGCAAACGGGGTGGGGGGGGGGGGGTCCGGTGTCAAAATTGTGCAGTTTTGAAACAAAAAAATTGGGGTTTAAGCTTATTTAAATTCTCAAAAGCACTTCGAATAAAAACAAAATTATTAGTCAAATTTATTTAAATTTAATTAATGAAACTAACAATTATTGACAACAGACAGAAACATAATGTGTAATATGTTGGTAAGTTAGTCATCTAAGAAACGTGATCTTATAATACCTACTTTGTACGGTCGCCATTTCATTGAAAAGTATAAAAGTATAAAGTATGTAGACTAAAAACTGCAAAATAAATATTATATACGTATTTAGCAGTGAAAAGGCGACTTTGTCTGTTAGGTAATGTATGCAGTATCTAGTTATTAGTTTGGCACACGATACACGATATGGGGTATTATTACATCATGTTGAATACGCGTCATCATCATATTATTATAGCGTGCAACACTGTTCAATGATGTTGAAACTAGAAAATTCGATACTACTAAAAAAGGCCAACTTTATAGCAAGCCATTTTTAATGAGTGCAAATCATCTAGATGTTTTAGGAATGTTTAGCACATGCTCTGTGCAGAATTCAAATCTCACACCTTTTTATACAAAGATTGCTTTGTCAATCGGTCAATGTAGAGGTGTTGTGTTGGCTTTGTTCGTCGTTTGCTCCGACTCCAACGTTCGACTGTTTTAACAAAGGAAAATGGATTTAATCTTCTTTGAATGTTCTCACGTCAAGCGGGCTGCAAAATCCTTTTATGTAATTTATTTTTAACACATTAATATGAACTATTACTAGTTTACCATGTTCGTCTTTCTTCTGTGCTCGTTTGTAGGTTTATCATCGCGTATGTTTACTTTTAAATAGTAAACATCTAGGCATGTGCCTTATCAATATGTTTCTTATCTTTGCGAACATTTTGTGTTGTAATGTGCATACATGTTTCGGACTCGGAAAATATAGTTTATGCGTTTATGCTAACTAAAATTAATACCACTGCGAAATAGTTCGATATCAGACAATCGTTATAAATGAAGGTTAACTAACTATAAATCCACGTATTTGTAATTCCGAATTATGTGTATAATTAAATTTAGGCCTACAATAAATTTATTTAAATGCTGAAACAATTTTACATTCACTGTACGAGGAATTTTGAACCCAACAAACAAACGGAATGCGGAAACTTCGCGGAAACGCCTATCAAATTAACTAACGAATAGATAGGAAAACGTACATTTACGTCGAATAATTATCAAACCTGTAGCATGAGGAAACTGATGTCGCGTCTAGGAATTTGTAATTGAATAGGGAAAATTGAAATAAAATAGATGAATCAACAAACTAGAATTAAGAAACTGAAACAACAAAAATGCCCCCACCGCAGCAAACTTGCAGATAAAGCGAATTTTCATCTATTTGGCGGGAATTCCACAAAATTATTCCCTTAAAATTGTCAGATTTATTTCTTAATTAAATATCTTTAATTATAATGTTACGCGAACTCGTTCGAATAAACGTTGGTTTACACTTTTATAACAAGTTTCATCAAAATCGGATAATTTTTGCTTGAATTATCGTGCTAAAACGGATACTTATATATATATATATATATATATATATATATATATATACAGTATATGAATTTGAACAGATGGTGTTTTGGCCTCTAGGGACCTCGAAACGGAAAAGTAAATCGGTTCCGGGTCCAGGTCTTACCATGAGTACGGTAATAGCTTATTCAATATATGGGAAATTCGCTAAAAGGATCAATCACGAGGTAGGCTAAATTAACAACATTAATGACTCATCAAAAGAATAGCATGAGGAAACTGAAACATACATGAATTAATAATGCGGAGGACGGACAAAACTCCCGTGTCCTTGAATTTACTTTGTTTTCAATACTAACACAACCATCACTTGCTCAACATCAGCCAGCAGGCATAACATTTTACTTCAATATATATTTTAATTTCTGTTTCGATATTATTTTGACTCAATAGAAAAATTATAATTTTACTGGGTTCGGTTTTCGAATCACATTGAATGCATAGGTAGTGTAGTATTTAATTGTATTTATTTGTGTCCTTTTCGTAATACTTTAAGATATTTTATCATTTTAATTTTTGTAACCATAAAAATAAATGTGGCGCATAACAGAGAACATAGTTTCATTATGTTCAAGTTCCTATGTAATTTTTATATAATATACAATTTTCCTTAGGCACATTTGTGGAGCTTTCAGTTTATTTTTAAATAAAGAATCAAAATCCTATTGCCTAACAAGTTTGTTCTCATAAGATTTTTACTCGTTTGCAGAAATAAGAGGTAATTAGTTTTAATAAACTGTTACTTTATCGGTACCTACTAGATAAGTGTATAACGTCGATACGGTATTCTACCAAATCTAATTGTTCACTTCAGCACTAGGCTATAAACATTTGTTAGATTTTTATTGTTTTATTAAAGTGCTATGCATTCATAGACGAAGGTGCGACATAATTAATAGGCCTATTACAGTATGTGTGTAATAGTTAAAAATTATTTAACGATTTAACCTACGTGTTATATACAGTACTTGGATATTATTATTTAAATTACCATTATATGGACACGTTTGAAATAAATGCTCAATATATTAAATCTTGAATCTTAAAATTGTAATTACTTAGTAGAGTATGGCACAAGCCACACTCGTAATCTAACAATGTCCTAGATGATAATGTTCTTTACTAAAAATAATGTGATTAAACAAATTTTCATATAGCATTCGGTTCTTCAAAAGACGAGACAACAAAGGAAAAAAAATTTTAGGTAGGTAGCATTAAACCTTTTTGTCAATAAACAAATACCACTTAATTACTCTAACACTACCTAAAAACCAGTGAAATGCACCTACCCAAAACAAGACGTTGAATCCAAAAATGAGGTACTTCAAGCAGCAGCTGACTTCACTGGTGTCCCTCCTGGTGTATTTCCTGACGGATTGTTGTACGGGGACTTTGAAGCCGTTGGCCGTCGGCCTGTGGGCCTCGGTACTCATGGCCTAGGCCTAGCTTGACACATAACACACACGACGATGTACGTGGTGACGTCACGGACGTGGTACACGGCCAGTCGGGAAACGCTCACTGAGGCGGCCACAACACCACCTTCACGACACGCTCGCACCACTATCGATATATCGTATAATGCGACTGTTCGATATAATTGTATTGCAATATTAGTATTATAGTGCTAGTGAATGTTAGTTGACACCCGATGTTTTTGTTTGACGTAGTGAAAATTCTAGGCAAAATCTACTTTTTTAAATGTACAAAAGTTTTTTTTTTCTTATTTGCATTTAATAGATTTGATTTTTCCCATAATTGAGGGGAAGATATAAAAAAAACACTTGGTATAAATTTCTTTACGTAATAATATTTAAATTTTTTTAACCTAACTATTTTTATCAATTAACAATTTGTCCATCTGTTCATTGTTCACAAAGAATATACTGCCAACAGCAAGCAAATAGTAAAACAGAAACAAATTCCAAATTTGAGCTATCATGTAGCTACTATAATGAAAACAAAATAATGAATGAAATATAAATAATACGGTATTCATTGTAAAGATTAATTTTTATTGACATTATAAACGGATTTTGGTTACAGTAACATAAGTGGTTACACTGCGCATTCTTGTTGTATTATTTACTCCGATGGTTGTCGTATGGTGAACTCAAATCGATACAAAACGATATATTTAATCGGAATAAATCGGATCATTCGGATTGTCATATCGCATTTGCACCCCCCCCCCCTCGCCCGAGAGCCAGAATCCAATATACGTGGACAGGCGCGGCGCGGCGAGCGGCGACACGTGCGCTCCTAGCGGACAGGACGAGAGATCGCTCTCACTTTCCTACTTCTTTGTTCTGGGTCCGGTGCGAGGTTGACTATTGTATCATCCTGTCTGTCTCGGCATATTGAAAAGGAGTGGCAGGAACCAACGCTGAAGAGGACAAAGTCCTATAACACTTATTTGAATCTGAAAGGAGGAGCGGTGGGAACATTATCTAATTTTGAGAATACAATATATAAATCTACTCTTGAGTCTTGACCAAAGTTTAAATGTACATGTTTTATCAAGGATTAAAATCGAACTCTTGTACAGGTCACTCTTATAATTTACCTGGAGTATTTTTATATAGTGTTTCGACCACTGTCCGTTAGCTCAATGACTAATGACAACTAGACCCATCTTTGCGTGGAATTGAACCAGCGACATTTGAGCACCAACCAGATTTAAAAGCGAGGAGTATAACTACTCGGATGTTCATACAATATTCGTAGAGGTGACCGTGGTATCTTTGAAACGTATACTAGGTTGTTATTACTTCTCAGACACAATTTTGAAAAAGAATTGAAAGTGAACAAGGTTTGAAAAAAGTCGTTAATATTACGTTATGGCATAAGTAAACACTACTCAGAAATTAATACAAACTAGTGCACCTGTTGCTCGAATTCGAGCAATACCAAAGTACAGGCGTTATTTCAAAACGAAATAACCCTAAAAGTCATATCCGATGTAAAAGAGTCAACTCCAAGATAATGTAATCAATCACACGAACGTTCTTGAGTGTATCATGTATTTACTATGAACAGCTTTAATTTATACAAATTATTCATCTGTTTAAGTAAACAAAATCTTTTCTTCATAAGAAATACAATGGGATTTTGATGGTGAAACCCGTCGAAAGTGACGGTTACTTTCAAGGTTTCATCTAACTGCGTTAAATTGGGTGAAATATACATATTTTGAGCATTTAGCATTGTTTAAAGAGTAATAAGTGTAAAAACAATAATGATATTAATTGCGTTAGTTGCCAAATTTGGTTGATCATTCAATGAATAAAATATTCCCCATACCGTACGACATCTGAGTTATTATTAGTATGTTATATGGTATCTCTTCCTTTGGAAGAACCAAATAGTATTAAAATCGTATGGGTGGATCTTTTGTAGTTAATGAAATGTAATTTCATATGACTTTATTTCAAAAGAAAATATTTTTTGGGAAGACATATTCTAACTTCAAAGGGAGGTATATCTGTTACAGTGTAAGTTTGATTTTTCCTTCGTCACGCCGCGTCAGTTCATATCGTACTTCTGAGCCAATGAGTGAACCCTCTAGTATAGTTTCGAGAAATTGATTGTGGGGTTACTGCTAAAGCTGGAATTCCTTGACATGGGGGATGTCAGTTAGTTGTCTGAGCCTTAACAATAACATAAAGTTGTCAATATAATCTCTCTATGGAATGTTAGGTGTAGTGGAATACTTGAAGTGAAGTTGGCTTTTATTCTTGAACTGTTAGGGGCCCCCTAGGTCATATGGTCTTGCGGCTTCATTGGCAACAAATAATGCAAATGGCATAGCAATGGGACATTTCCAAAAAGGAAAAATACTGTAAATTGGCTGTTACATATATAGGTATTGACGTTTACATATTGTTAATCAACGTATCTTATAAAGGATTATGTGATCTAGTTTAAAAGGAATATGACCTTTCTGTCATGATAGTAGCTGCTTAAATAGTATTTTCTGTTTCTCTTGTACAATATTTTACATCCAAAATGTCGTGTTATTTTCAATAATGTTACCAAACCACTGCGCCAAAGTTCGTAATATAGGCAGGTGCAAATAATTTGTTCCATATTAGGCAAGGTTTCTATGTTTAGATTTTATTAGACACGATAAGAGCAGATATTTCTACATAAATATTTGATATTTGTAGAATAATATGATAAAATGTATTCAAAAGTGGTGAAAAAGGCATATACCAACCCGTAAGAAATAATTGTAAGAGTTATTGTCATAAAAGGATTTTCTACTATGATTTCGTCATGGAACTTTATATTGCAACACATGAGATGATAAAGGAGAAAATCAATTTTAAAATCAGAAAATAACATTGCAAATACTTATTTGGTAGAGTCATAGACAAATAGAGTGAATAGAATTCAGTAACTTCCAATAAATGTGTGTGGTTTGAAATACAATTTAAAAATGAACAGCTGTTTCATTAAAAAGTATTATTTACATGGCCAAAATGTAAACAACTCTGTGGAGGGATCTTTAAAGGCTTCTGGGGCAGAGTCCTAAGGGATTTTGCTTAGTTTTTCTTTTGATAACTCATCTACAGACCAAGACCTTTCTTTGGACACCTCTACCAAGTTTCTACGCCATGCCGTTCTCTCAAATTAGTGGGGACAAAGTTTCCAATTAAATATTTAGATTCCCCCATGTTAATCTTATGGGAGAAACTCCAACTTTGATGGCCTGTGGGACAAAGCCTGAGGATTTTTATTACAGGAATTGGTGAAAGGGGGCGTCTACATAAAAAATACTTTATTTTGACACGTCGTTTGTAAACATCCGTCCATTATTAACTGAGGAGTAGTGTTTCGTAGAAATCGCCTTCACGTATTATATATAAGGATTCAGAGTGGGAAAGCAAAAAAAGGTTGGCTGCTAATGCCGTCCAACTTGAGAAACCCCAAAAGAAATAAGGATGTACCTAATTTTACCAGAATATTTATGTTCAAAGCATTTAATGCGGTAAATGAAACATAAGAAAATTAACATATAGTACACTGTGGTTGTGTGATATTTAATGTATTGCAATGTAAACAAAATAAGTCATTAGTTGAAAATATCAATCAACACCCGTATCAAATAATATTCAATTGGTAGAAAACATATAGGTTTAGTTATTTGCTTTTTGTAACAGCAATTTTGATTTTTGCTATAAAATCATTAAAAGTACATGCAAATCATCCTTCTATATCTAAATTTAGAACATATTATATTCCTCATAGTAAAAAACCTCTATAGTATTGCTCAATTGAGATTATTACCAAGGATTAATATTTGGTTCTCGCAGGGAATAGTTGAGTCGCGACGCCATATATACAAAGTCACTACAAGCAGGCAATGGGAGGACCGATGCTACTAGGTGTCGAAAGAGATACATTTCTCTACCTATCAGAAAGTTATTTTCCCATTGCAGGACCATTCAATGTCACCTCCAATGGACACTTACATCTCAATAGTGGACTTTGTTCTCCTTTTGACATTTCTTGAGCGTATTAAACACTTTAATAGTTATTTGTGTAACTAGTGGGTGAAGTGGTAGGCGAGTGTGGATAATTTCTCGAGTGCAGCAAAAACAATTTGCACTCGTGTTACACATTATATTTTTCCTGCAGTTATTATAAAGCATAGAAATAATTAGTCTTTCAAACACTAAACAACAGTCAATACGTTTTAGGTTATGTTAAATCCAAGGGTTGAACGAAATGGAAAACACTGCAACAGCTGATCGTAGTATTCGTAGTCGTACCGGTAGTATCTTCAAGTTGTCGCCAATCTATTTCCAAGCGTGTACGGATTACGTGCATAATAAAACACGCTGTTTTATGTTGTTTGGTTGGAATACTGGTGTGCGACAAAGTAAAAAGTGTGCGGCAAAGTAAGTAAATGCGGCAATTAGCAGCTTTCTGTACTATAATCAGTGTAAGGAAGCCCACTTTGTCGGGTGATTGTAGAGAAAATTATTGTTTACAAGTAAAAAATGTATATCAGTTTGTCAAAGACTTTTGATTGGCGAGTCAAATCTCTAATTTTCTTTTCTTCCAGTAATGAATCTTCTAAATATGTTTAATAAAAATCTTAAAAAATCTCCAGTTTTTAGATAACATTGACTGTGGTAAGAAGGTTTCATATCAACCTTAGTCAAAAGTCAGTAACAAGACTATAAGATAGCACCACTCATCTCATAGTAAAATATCAATAGCTTAGTACAAATTAAGGCGATTAGCCAGGTTTAAAAAACAAAATAACTTCGAAAACTATTACTCAATTATTTTCAAGTAGATACAGTAATATCTATAGAATTCGCTGATACAATAACACAACAGGTTATATTCAAATTCAACTGATTATCTAATAAGCGAAATTTAAATCCCTCACAGGGAACTTTTACGTTATAGCATCGACTAGGGTTCTATTATCTGTGGTTGTAGCCAGTCGTATTCCTTTTGGTGAAAGTCATTGCTGTTAATATAACTAAGTAAGATTATCTCTTAATTTTGGTAATCGGTTGTAATGTGTGAGAAATATTAAATTTGCAAATTTAATAATTTCTCTTTGTTGAGAACAGTTTGTTATGTCACGTCAACGTGAATTATGGAGGTCCTGATTAATTCTCCCACCTCTAAATCCCAACAAAATGGCGACCAGTAAATTGACACCCCCAATGCTGAAGCTGTCACTCCAAATTAACCCCATAAAACCGTCAATACCCTCTCTGATAACTTAATTCGGGTTGAAAGGGAGGGGTAAAGATTCGAAGATTGATTTAACTTCAGTTAATTTGCATTTTTATTTGGAAAGTGGAATAATTCATCATGGTATTACATTTTAAATAAATAATTTTTTGGGGACGTTGTTAGGGAAAAAATGGTGTAATGCAATGTTACTGTAGGGTACACTATTCTATTCAAATTTTGTAACTGCAACGAGATAAACGGTTGAATTTGCATTTACTGTATAAGTAATACAGAGTTGTGTTGATAATACATTTAGGATTTAACTGGTTCAAGGGACCGAACAATTTGATGTATAAGGTAAAGAATGACTTCGACTTGTGCAAAGGTGAACTTCAAAGTCAAAGAAGTTTGAAACATTAGAATCAAGAATCTCATATGTTTATCAACACAATGGTCGTTACATGACATAAAAGAATGCGACTGCGGAACCTAAAATGTATGCTCACTGCACTGTGAAATGGGAAAGCTTATATACTAAAAAAATGAATGGTTAGATGAGTGTACAATGAGTGAAATGCCTTATGTAGCATTTTAATAAAAATACTGTGATAATAAAAACGCCCAGATGGGAAAAGTTTAGCTGATCCCTTTATAATATTGAAAAAAGAATAATAAATAAGATATAAATAGTATAATATAAATTTATTGGCATGGACGTATCTTCAAAACAGATTAAATTCATGGAAATCTTGAATCGCTTGCGATGTTTCTTTAATACAGTACGTCCAAGAGAACCGGGTTTTTAGAAGGAAGAATGGAGAAACATGACCACACATTAGACAGTTTTTATTTACACTGTTTTTTTTAAGTGATGAACACAAAATACAACCACTGAGTTAGGACACTGCAAAGAAACGATCTATAACCATACTGTATTTATTTCAAAATTGGAGGCTTTTGTTTTTACGTCTATACCAACCACAATACAAAATAACAATCAACTTTGCGTTCGGGACCAGACCAGTAACGAGTCAGTGGGGATGCTGTATTCATTTTTAGTTTATTTACCCTTACGTCATATATTATGACCAAATAGAACAGTTAATTTTTTAAACTACGGCTTTTCCCTGGGTATGAAAACCGAAAGATGGTTAACCACCGTATTTCATCAAATCAGTATAGATTCGATCGATAACCCAACCTTATAATATGGCACTTGTTGACACTCTGCACACCTATAAACAAACCTTTTCCTACAGCCACCTGACAAAATGGTCTTCCTTGCACTGAATATAGTATAAAGAAAGATGCTAATTGCTGCATTTACTTCCCTTTTGTACACTCTTTTTACTTCTACCGCACTCCAGTATTCCAACCAAACAACACAAATCATCGTGCAATCGTGTTTTTATGAGTTGTTTATATAGTTGGCTTTGGCTTTAGACATGTAATCCGTGTACGCTTGGAAATAGGTTGGCAACACAGATAAGATCAGCTGGTGCGTCGCCGCGTTTTCCATTTCGTTCAACGCTTGTAAATACCGTAGGCCTACATGTTGCATAGTGTTTGAAAGACTAATTATTTTTCCTACAGTCACCCGACAAAGTTGGCTTCCCTGTACTGTTTATAGTACAGAAAGCTGCTAATTGCTGCATATTTATACTTTGCCGTACGGTTTATACTTTGCCGCACGGTTTATACTTTGCCGCACATCAGGATTCCAACCAAACAACACAAAACAGCGTGGTTTTATTATGCACGTAATCCGTGTACGCTTGGAAATAGGTTGGCAACACTTAAAGATAATAATACTATGAACAGCTGATTGACTATTATAACTACGATTTAACCTGTCATTTCGTGTTTATAGTTTTGGTATTTCTGAACTTTCTGGACTTTTCTTCTAAACGTTTTTAAAACATTCCTACGGTCTTAATAAACAAGAAAATACCTTTAAAGCATTTTTTTTAGGCGCGGAAACCACTTCAAATTACAAAAACATACGGAACTATATTCTCAAAAGACGGAGCACATTTCTTGCCGAGGAAAAATAGCGGAGTTATACGGACCACGGGTACTACTTTCTCCAGGGCACCATTTGTGTAATTGTGTTGCTAGCTGAACCTAAAAACGTGTAGTATAGTGTTTGAAAGACTAATTATTTATGTTTTATAGTGACTGTAGGAAAAATATAATGTGTAACACGAGTGAAAAAGGCCTTTGCTGCACTCGAGATCATTCCACACTCGCCTGCGGCTCGTGCGTAAACATTGCTCTCGTGTGCAGCAAAGTGCCACTTTCACCACTAGTTACACAAATAACTATATATGCTTTATAGTAACAGTAGGAAAAAATATGATGTTTATTACGTGCCACTTCACACACTAGTTACAAAAATAACTATTTCTTGAACTTGAAATATGTTTTACGATCCCTGTGTCTGCTTTTTAGTTTGCTTAGACTAATGCATTTTACCCCCTAGTTTGTCTTCGTTGCCGGGACTATAATCTAAATATATAAAAGGCAAAACCCTCACTGACTCACTGACTGACTCACTCACTCACTCATCACTAATTCTCCCACTTCCCATTTACCTAGGAGGCTGAAATTCGGTACATCGATTCTTTGGGCATTAAATAGGAAAACTAAGCAGTTTTTATTCTCATCAGGCTTTCGGGCTCCGCCCCAGTGGCTCTGGAGTTTCCCATGTTAACCTTATGATTTTTCATATTTAAAAGGAATTAATGAATCTTAACAGCTGTTTCAATTAAACAAGTTGGTTCTGTTCTATGATGTTCAATAGCATTAAAGTTACAAGCATTACCAACAGAGTGCAGCACTATTATTTTTTTTATTTATTTATGACAACAGCTAATTTGCAACTGAAAGGTGAGTGAGCGTAGCGAACGAACTTCAACTTGGAGGCGAGTTAGCGTAGCGAACGAGCTAACCTGAAGGCAAGTGAGGCGAGTGAGCGTAGCGAACGAGATTGAGCCATGCGAACGAGCTCACTTATGAAGAAGCACGGGTCACACTAGGCTGGCATCAGCGGCGAATTGAAAGAAGCCGCGACTGTCAGCTTAATGTGACCACAAAATTCGCAGCTGACACTGAGCTGACTCAGCCTGGATTGGTGAGCCGGTGATGCTGGTGCCAGCTGCTGATCACCAGCGGCTGGCAAACAGCCTAGTGTGACCCGTGCTTTAAGCGGGGCAAAGCCCGCGGGTACAGCTAGTGTGCTTTAATCCTATACTATAATACAGCATATTGTATGATACTGATAGTGATTTTAGTTTTCCTGGATCCCATTTTACGCTTAAAACCAGCTGCTTAATGCCACAGTAGGAGTACCAAAAACTGTGGTGAAGGTGAAATTCACCATACTGCCAACTTGACGACAATAATGAAACCATTATGGTGGTTGGTGGCACTGCAACTGCACTCGCACTGGCTAGTGGCTAGGCTGCTAGGCTAGGCTAGTGGCTAAATAAAAAAAATCCTAACCTTAGTTTAGTGCTATTGCTTTAGTTGATTTTTAAGTTGTCAACTTCACCAGTCATCAATATTTAGTTAGTTCGATACGTATATTCCGATTGGAATATTTACCGATTTGGCATTAACGAAGATGACTTCTCACGATATAAGCATTGTTGATTATTATGCAGAAAATAATGGTTATAGATGTGGATACTGTAAATCTCCCAACACAAACTACAGCCATGGTAAGTTAAGCTAGGCCTAGGACTATTCAAATTTTTAATAGATATACACTTTGAGGCCGACGTAGCAACAATGCACTTTGTGACGCACTTTGTTTGTTAGGCCTATGTTGCACAACTTTTTGCTGAAGTCAATTATCTTTGAATCCAAGTTGAATTAATTTGAAGTAGGCTAGCCTAACTTAGCTTTTGTCTGCACATTGCATTGTCGAATTTTTCATAGCTTTTTGATGATTTTGTATCATATTTCTGTAGGATTATAGGCCTATCCCATATTGGCCAGCCTTATAACATCGGTAAGCAGTAACTTATGTTAACTTAGGCAGTAACCAACAGTAGGCCTAAGTTAGAACAGGGGTCTCCAACCTAACTTATAAGTTATGGCCCGCTAGCAGATTTTTTCTAGCCCGCAGAAAGCCAGCATAGGCTACTGTAATGAAAACAAATCTTTTTGACAACAAACATTAAGTTAATCTTCTCGTGGGATTGCCTTATTTTAAGTTCTGTTGGTCTTGGTGAGACCGTGTAGTTTCACCGTGATTGTGGTAACCACTCGTGACCATATCTTGCAATCTCAGCGATACCGTGATCGCATCCCGCAATGTCGGCAACACCTTGTCATCGGTGATTGTGATTTCCTTATTTTGAAGAAACCCAATGGAACGCCGTTAACTCAATGAGTACCAGTAATGAATGAAAGGCTCGGCAATTGGTTATTGATGGAACTCTCAGCCTATAATACCTAATTCAAGTAAGTTACAATCCACTGTTTTTGTCTCTTTCATCAAAATTCTTGTTGGTACCTACTAACTTATTCACAGTCTCCAGGTCGGCTGGATACCTTGGTAAGTATACCTATTTAGCCTAAGCTAGTAGCTTGTCTCTCACTAGCCAATTTTCCATTTTAAGAAAATGACTTAGTGGGAAACATGTTAAGTTAGGGACTGAGTCTTCTAAGTAAAAAATCTGGGGAGTTAATTGGCCGTTTGAGATTAATCCTACTTATCATAACTTCAAAACTGTACCTAAATGTGCAACCCTAAATGAGCGGAATTTTTAAGTAGCAAATGCCTTGTTATGCTTTAAACACTTGTTGTAAACTCCGGTATCGTGAAGTTTTCTTATTGCTATTAGCCTAAAATAAAAGTTCTCTAAGTAAATTTTATAGTAGAGACAAGATAATTATGTCCCCTAGAGTAGAATCTAGACTAAAAATGTTAGATGAGCCCAAAATGGGGAAAACCATCGAGTAGGCTAAGCTAGGCAATAAAGCTGTTCAAAATCAATAAGTTTAAAAACTAATATAGTTCCATTGTTGTTGAACCTATTCTAAGCTTTAAGTTTAGGCTATGTTTTCTTTTAACACCACTAACTTATTTTTTCTGCTTTAAAGTTATCTTAACCAAATACCTAATATAAAAGAACGGAATTATTATAAACATCAATGCTTTAACTTTAAAATGTTATGCTTTTGAGGGAAAGTTATTCATCCACTCTCCCAGCACAGAAATACATTGGCACTTAAGACTTAAGAATAAGTTAGGCTTAAGTTAGTCCTACAAGCTGTTGAATAACTGGAAGGTCAGACTGAAAATTGGATAATTGAGACTCTATACATATCGATCAACGTCCTATTAAATCATTCTCATTCATTCTCTCATTCTCATTCTCATTCTTGGAGGCTAGCGGCCATCTTGGGTCAATTTCAAGCAGCTGCTGAAGAGTTATTTATCTTACATTCCCAAATATTTGTTCAAATACCAAAGTGATTGAAATTTAAATGTCTTTAATTTAAATAAAAAAAATTAAATTAATTTAAATTTAAATATCTAGGGTCCTATGAGGGAAAAAATTTTCTTTTTGTAGTAAATGTTTTCTAACTAGGCCTAACAAATTTTTAATGTTTTTAACTAACTAATAACTATTTTGGATTTGCCGCCTTGAAAGCAATGTTAGTTTAAAACAGCCGCTGAATAGTATTCCAAAATACAGGGTGTCCACAAAGTCTTGGCCTGATAAGAAAACCGCATAGTTTGAAAACGAGTGATAGTAGGATAACAATTTATTTACAGATAAAAGGAAACTTCTTAAGATTTTATAATTATGTACAAACGTAACACAACTCTATGTGAGCGCCTCCAGTGGTCTGCAGATCTTTTATTCCACTTTTCAGTTTATCCCAGTTTTAGTCAGCATTTCCTGGGTTACATTCGCCTCAGCATTTCTGATTCTCTCCCTCAGTGTTTGTAAATTGGGAACCGGGGGAGAATACAGTTTGTCCTTGACAAATACCCACAAAACGAAATCCATGAAGGTTACATTGGGGGAATGAGGTGGCCATTTCGTCGGGCCATCACACCCAATCCAGCGTCCGGGGAAGTGGAGATTTAAACATTTCTCACACATTTAGCCCAATGAGGCGGAGCGCTGACTTGCAGTAAAAATTAACATAGGTTGCAGTTCTTCTAATTGAGGGACTACATACAACCCCAACATCCAAGTAAACAAACCTATTCACATTTTCTTCCCCAAAGAAAAATGGTCTGTTGATTCCAACATGCATTACACCGCACCAAACATTTAGTTTTGGACTGTCCGTTTCATTTTCAATCACAATCCTGGGATTTTCACTCCTCCAAACTCTACAATTGTGTCTGTAAACCTTCCCACTTAAAATGGAAGGTCGTCGAACTGCTATAGGGGATTGGGTTTCGTGAAACAATAAAACACACATAGTGATTTTTCTTGTAAACTCACCATTTCTGATTTGTTATTGTATTGGGTCATATCTGTATTTTTGTCAAACAGCTGTTTTTAGGTGTTAAAATGAATAAAATAAACTAGGTGGCGTTCGCAGAGGCATCCACAAAGTTGAGCGGAGTCATCAAGGGTTCATTTTATATTGTTTTTGTCATACTGCAGGAAAAACAGTAGTTTTTAATGCATGCGTTGCGGGTATCTAAATAGCATTTTTAATAATAAGGGAGTAAAAATCGTTTTTAGCCTCTATGGAATAAAAATCAGCTGTTGTAAACTAAGTTGTAAATTTCGATTGTAAACGATTGCATGTATCGAAAATATGTATCGAATCGTGCTTCGTAATCATTTTAACATACAGTCTACAGTCTCTTCCCGTAGCATTTTAACATTGCAGATACATTAATCCATTCCCACACTCAACACTGCTCACCTTTAGTACTTCCTTCACCATCCCTTACGTCGTGGACCTATTTCCCTCTCTTCCCATAGCATTTTAGGATTGCAGATACTTTAATGTAATTGCCAAAGACAGTTCCCACACTCTGCACTGCTAGCCTTACTACTTCCTTCACCATTTCCTACGTCATAGACCCGTTTCCTTCCTTTCTCATAGCATTTAAGTATTACAGATACATTTATCTAACTGCGCAAATGGTTCCCCCACTCTGCACCGCCAGCCTTACTTCCTTCACCACTTCCCCGTCGTGGGGCCTGTTTCCTTCCCTTCTCAAAACATTTTAGGATTGAAGATACATTAATCTAACTGCCGAAGACGAATCTCACACTATGCTCATACTTAAAAACTTCCTAAGCCACTTCCTACGTCGTGGACCTGTATTCATCACCTTCCATAGCATATTAGTATTTTTGATACCTTAATCTAATTGCCACAAACATTCCCACACTCCGTACGGCTAGCTTTTACTACTTCTTTCGCCATTTCCTGTGTAGTGGGAATGCTTCCATCCCTTCTCATAGCATTTCAGCATTAAAACTGCTACAAACGGTTTCCAGTTCCAAAACTCCACACTGCTCACCTTACTACTTCTTTCACCTCTTCCATAGTCGCGGACCTGTTTCCCTCTCTTCCCATAGCATTTTAAGACTATATATACCTTAATCTAATCGTCATAAACAGTTCCCACACTCCGGACTACTTGCCTTTACTACTTCAGTTACCACTTCCTACGTCGCGGACCTGATTCCCTCCCTTCCCATTGCATTTTAAGATTGCAGATACCTTAATCTAATCGTCATAAACAGTTTCCACACTCTGGACAGCTCGGCTTGACTACTTCCTCCACCACTTCCTACATCGCGGACCTGTTTTCCTCCCTTCCCATAGCATTTTAGGATTGTAGATACCTTAATCTAATCGTCATAAACAGTTTCCACACTCCGGACAGCTCGCCTTGACTACTTCCTTCACCACTTCCTACGTCGCGGACCTGTTTCCCTCCCTTCCCATTTCATTTTAAGATTGCAGATACCTTAATCTAATAGTCACAAACAGATCCCACACTCCGAAAAACTCGTCTTTACTACTTCCTTTACCACTTCCTACATCGTGGACCTGTTTCCCTCCCTTCCCATTGCATTTTAGGATTGCAGATACCTTAATCTAATCGTCACAAACAGTTCCCACAGTCTGGACTGCTTGCCTTTACTACTTCCTTCACTACTTCCTACGCCACGGACCTGTTTCCCTCCCTTTCCATAGCATCATAGGTTTGCAAATACATTAATCTAATGGTCACAAACAGATCCCACACCCCGAACAGCTCACCTTTACTACTTCCTTCACCACTTCCTACGTCGCGGACCTGTTTTCTTCTCTTCCAATAGCATAATATGATTGCAGATACCTTAATCTAATCGTCATATACAGTTCCTACACTCCGGACAGTTTGCCTTGACTAATTCCTTCACCACTTCCTACGTCGCGGACTTGTTTTCCTCCCTTCCCATAGAAATTTAGGAATGCAGATACAGTACCTTAAACTAACATAATCAGTTTCCACACTCCAGACTACTCACCTTTACTACTTCCTACACTACTTCCTTCACCACTTGATTCGTCACGGACCTCAAGCTAGTGTCGTCATTTGATTATACTGTATTTATGATCCGTACCGTTTCTGTTCTAATATCTGTGAAATACTGCTATCAGCTATTTCTTTATTTGCTGCATTCAAAATTCAACAGCTGATCATATGTCTTTGTATTTGTTGTTTTGTTGTTGTTGTTGTTTGTATTTGTTTATGTGTCAAATACTGCTTCCATAAGGATTACATTGAAACTTTGAGACCCAGTGGGGCGGATTCCTGAGAGACTTTTTTAACGCCATATAGATGTTGGCACTCACCGATATGGTCTTTATCACCATGCAAAATTTGAAAACGATTGAATCAGCCGTCTAGGAGGAGTTTGCGTATTACGAAATGCATAAGAGTCGACGTATAAGAGCTTCGCTCGCTTCGCTCAATAAAACTCTATTAAATTCCCTTCAAAACAAGGCATACAAGTTAAGTGTGGATATAATGGTTTTCGTACAGCAAAGCTATTAAATCAGACCAAGGCTTGATGACACTCAAGACTCCATAGTCCAGTCTACCCATTGACGATTTTTTGCTTGACAACTAACTTAACTCATTCAAGTTTGCTAAACTGTTTAGGCGGTAATAGACTGTGTTAAGACGCTTTTAATAATTTTTAAAACTCTTAACTCCTCATCCAGTAAGATAAGTTTCATCCAGTTGAACCAACTGAATAAGTTAGTATTTTTGATTTTCTTTCAGGCATGTGGGCTCACAGTCTGACAGTACAAGATTATCAAGACTTAATAGATCGAGGCTGGAGAAGGAGTGGAAGTTACTGTTACAAACCTACAATGCATCTGACTTGCTGTCCAATGTATACAATTAAGTAAGTAGAATTAAACATTAGGCCTATCAGTGAATGTTGTGTTTATGTTATTTGGTATTCGTTTTCAGCCCATATATTGGCCTAGTCTTTATGGATCGAAGTATTATGTTATCGTATTATTTATAGTATGTTATTTTTCAAGAGCTACCAAACTTATTTAAAAAATCTAAGTTGGACCTAGATATATTTTACTATTTCATACATCGGTTGACATACCTGATATTTAAATTTAAGCACCAACAATTAATAATTAGGTACCATCAATCAGTGTCGCTCCAACCAGTGTTTGAACCATATTAAAAAAATGATCTACTGCTTCTAAGTTAAATAGCTTTTAAAAATAATTGTTTGGTAGACAAGACTATTGGTTTTGTTGGATGGTAGGTTGAACAGTTTTTATTGCCTTAGTTATTAATTGCACACTATAATTAATTATTGGCATTGATATTGTCTTCTGAATCTTGCTAGATGTTCTGCTCTGGATTTCAAACTTTCAAAATCTCAAAAAAGGAAGTTGAAGAGATTTCAAAACTTTTTGGCTTATGGGAGACATAAGAGCTCATCTCGAAACGATGATGCAATAGAATCAACATCTGATATGGAATCAACTGGTAAGTTGTAATTTGTTATGTCCAAATATGGTACAATTATTCTATGACAATCCCTTGAATAATTACTAAGCCGCCTTAATTTTTACGTTTATATTATGAGACTGAGTAAATACTACGAGAGTGTTTTTTTTAACTTGTGACCCTTCATTGTTTGTGCTAGGCGAGTGGCCGAAATCAGGCATGTACGGCTTAACTCCCTACCTACACACGTTGTCATTGTCAACCTCTTCATTATGAACTTCATATTGGCCTTCATTAAACTTCTGGCACCATTCATGCACAAAGCACAACACAACCTCTCAAGAAGTTTTTTCATAATGTGCGGTAAATTGTACAATGATTTTATGCAGTTTTATTACCGTTTGGCTAGAAATAAATAATGCTGCAATTTAACTCTTGGCAGGAGAGTCAATAATGGCGGCAATGCTTTCTTTTGCGGCTGTAGTATAACCGGCTTGGTGTCGGCAGCAGTAGGCTAGTGAATATTGTGGGAGGGTTGGTTTGTTGCCATCTGTGCATGCCTGTTTCCCACTACTTGCCTAGCGACGTCTTGAACAGTGTGAAGTAGAAGAAATACTTTAGCCTAAATTTTAACTAACAAAAGATTCTATTATAGTTAGGTACTTAAACATTAAATATAAGATGCTCATTAGATGTTTTATAACTGATAGATAATTGATTTAGGCTATAAAAATATCGACTACATGTCAACAAGGACTACATGTTGTACTCTAGTTTATGATTGAGTCTCTTGTTTTGTAGATGAAGGAGACCCAGGTTTTGGCATAAGTGATTTTCCTGACTTGAAAGAGAAAGCACATTCCAACGCCAGCAATGCAGTATTGACCTCTGTGGAGTCTTCTCTGCAAGATAGTCTGTCAAGTATGTGTCACGTACAACTTATATTACAACAATAACCAGGCCTACTGCATAAATAATACAAAGTCTGTCCGTCGTTCAGCTTTTCTATCATTCAAAAAAATGGAAAATCTGGATGATTCAAATTTAAAATCACAAGATATTTACTTCTTCTATGATAACCATTGGCCTATTACCGTTTCAATATTAAGGCTCTGCCCCACCACTTTCTAAGTATGTGGTGGGGATTTGGACGGTAAATAATGATTGGTCTTCCTGTATAAAAAAAAATGTTTGTGTTCCATTTTAAAACTTACAAACATCTAACTAAAAATAATGAAATAGTTAAATAGCTAAATTAAATAATTGGTAAAGAAATGTACGTTGTGCTCTGGAGATGTCATCGCTTAAATAGAAACTACGTTTATGTTCTATATTTGTGATAATTAAATCGTTTGTATACAAATTTTGGATAAACCAATATTAAAACTTTTCTTTTAATTTTCAATCACTTGTAATGCCACTAGTTAGAAAGATAATCATAGGATGGCCTATGTTGATGATTCATAAACTAGATTTAATTTATCTGTTATGCGTCTGTTATCTGTGTTTAACATTAAACTGCTCTAATTTAAATGTTAATTTTGCTGATATTATGTTTTGTGATAAAAAAAAAATCAGAAATGAGCAAAGCTTTTTGTCATTCCTACTTTGATAGTAGATTACACTGCAAAGATATTTTTCCCCATTTAAATAAAGGTTCATAACAAAACGGGTTCTCCCAAAATAAAATTCTATACATCAGGATACGCAAAATACTCATGCAAGGGAATGATGGTTACTTCCAGTCTGGTAGTTGTTCATCATTTTTTGCACTTTATCAGTAAACGCTGATAAAATGATCGCGTCTTGTGGTTTAAATTGAATCTGTTTTCCATGAGACTTTACTGTAAAAAATGTGAGGGATTATTAAATACAAATTAATACAAATTTATATGAACACAACTCTTGATACATGTTTATTTCTTAATAATAAAAGGTAAACATTGAATTATTTACAATATGAAATTATTCCAGTCATATGATTAATATTAAAGTAAAAGATAGATTCTTGGAATATATAACAATTCCTCCCTACTTATTTAAGAAGATCGTTCATTTATAAGTTCATCCTTTTAATCGGTTTTCTGATTCTCATTGAACGGCGAATGTTAGGGACATCTGGTTGTGAGTTTGCATTTGACCCTTCAGCCTCTTGTTGTATGATTGTACTCAGCTCTTTGGCATCTTGTTGGCTGCTTGTACTTGTACTTGACGCTTCATTGTTAGTTATAGGGCTTTTTGTCTCACTATCAGGCATTGAGTTTGCTGTAGGACTCGATGTTTCAGTGTCCTTAATTATGCACGGACGGTATGGTTATCTTGAGTGTGGGGGGTTCTTCCCGGAACCTCAATTGAGTCAAGGGTGTCGCCACCTCTGGTGGATAGGTTCATCCGGGTGGGTCCCACTTCTATACCTGCCTCCTTTTGGGAAACCCTGATGGCCTGGCAGTGATGTTGGGTCTGACGGGCAAACGAAGTAGATCGGGTGCTGGGTCCGAGCCCGCCAGGGGTATCTGGGGATCTATCGCTCTGGATATCTCTGGTTCCCAGCAATGGGTCAGGCCTCGATTGGGCAGCGGTGTAAATGGGAGGTTGGGGTTCCCCCCGTAAGCGTGCTGATGGTCCCCTTCCTCCTGGCTATTGATGGCGGGTTCTGCCTGTCAGGGATTAGATAGGTCCCGAGTGTTGCTTGCACTAAATGCGTCGGGGCGCTCTACTATGGACCTCTAGGTTCCGACCTAGTGGAACCCAGGTGGAGTGACGCTTAAACAAGCAGCCGGAATCCCTGGTTAGGATTGAGGGGCAACCCTCTTTCCGAAGGGTCTGCTTCGGCAGCCGGCGAGCCTGATGACCTTAAGTCATCCGCCCATGATGTGCTAAAGGTTGATGCGTAAGCTTCGGCCTACATCATGGGGCCCGGGTATGTCCTGAAGGATAGGTACCGGGTAAGCAGTCAGGGGGCTTCGGCTCTCATGACAACAAATGTAAATGTAATGTAATGTAATGTTTCAGTGTCCGTAGTTCCTTCCCAGCTCGGGGTGCTACTTGAGACATTTTCTGTTTCTTGTGACCTTTCTGAATTGCCTTTTGATTTTCTTAACATGCCGTACCTTGTATGTCCCATGAATGAAGGTTGTTTTGAACAATTTTGATTGGTATTTTGGAATATTAAAGTTCAATGAGTTTGCGTAGGTGGTTCTTTGGCTATTGGGTCGCATCGGTTGTTTGAACTTTCTTGCCTTGTTTGCTTCAATGAGCTAGGTAGAGGGCTTTTGTAATGAATAGGATCTTTTGGCACTTCACAAGCTCGAAGCTGATTGAAGCGACATTTTATCACATACCCATCATCAAGTTCCACGAGGTAGTGAAGTCGCCCCAGCCTTTCCACCACAGTTCCAAATTTCCACAGAATGGATCCTACGTAATTTCTTGATTGTACTCTCTCCCCAATATTGAAATGTTTGTTAAATATTGGTTGTTGGGCCTCATTTTTGTCATCTTCACCAGGCCTTAAGAGATCTTGCTTGGTTCTCAAGTTCCTGCCAAACATTAATTGTGCTGGGGATGCACCAGTACTCAGTGGTGTAGCTCGGTACCGAAATAATAGTGCACATAGTTTTTCATGTAAAGTGCCCTGTTCAAACTGCATGCACCTCAGTTTTGTCTTGAGCGTTTTGCAAAATCTTTCCGCCTGACCATTAGTAGAGGGGTTTCCTAGTGCAATGAATCGTTGTCTTATTCCTTGGCGTTTGCAGCAGAATGCTTGAAACTCTGCTGATTTGAAAATTGTAGCATTGTCACTGACCAATATTTCTGGTAAGCCATGGTGACTGAATATTTCTCTCAGATGATGAATAGTACTGGCAGTTGTTGGCGCAATTTTTATTGGATATATTTCTGGCCAAATGATCTGGCATCTACAACAATCAAGAAGTTGTGATTTAGAAAAGGTCCTGCATAATCCATGTGGACTCGCTGCCAATTGCGTTTTGGTATTTCCCAAACATGGGTAGGGGCCTTCTCTGGGGTTTTCTTATTCTCACAACATGCCTTACAACTTGCTACCATACTCTCAATATCTGTATCAATGTTTTTACAGTAATAGTAGTTTCTTGCCAGACTCTTCATCCGCACTATTCCTACGTGTGTTGAGTGTAATTCTTTGAGGATTTTAGGTTGTAGCTTTTTCGGAATGACAACATGATTTCCTCTAAAAATAATTCCGTCTTGAAGGTATATTTCTGGGTCAGCGACTTCTCCGTTTAGGAGCTTTTCCTTTAAACAAGAGAGTTCTTCATCAAGTAATGTTTCTTTTTCTATGTCTTTAGCCATGATAGTATCGGTTGTTATGCAGTGTTTTGTCTCTCTTCGAACAGTGTAATCTTCGTCAACCACATTGATATTCTCTTCTTTTATTGGCAAAGGATGTCTTGAGAGGTAATTTGCATTACAGTTGGTCGCTTGACTTTTCGTGTACAATCTCAAATCCTGAAAGAAAATGAGCGTATCTAAGCATCCTGGATGAAGTCAACAGTGGTAGTTTCTTGTCTGGTTGAAATATGGTCATTGGTGGTTTGTTGTCAATGGCAAGAGTAAACTTCCTTCCGTATATATAATCAAACATTTGTTTACACCCCCAATATACAGCAGTTGATTCTCTGTCCAATTGGCTATAGTTGCGCTCTGCAGCAGTGAGAGATCTGCTGGCAAACACAATAGGCCTCTCTTCATTATTTGGCATTTTATGAGAGAGCACAGCTGATAAGCCAACAGGGCTAGCACCTGTGGCAAGTATCACGGGTAAGTCTGGGTTGTATGGAGTAAGAACTGTGTCACTTGCTATCTCTTCTTTAACACGAGTAAAAGCTTTTTCACATTCCTGTGACCAATGAAAACGTTTGTCTTTCCTTAGAAGCTGTTGTAAGGGATTTAGCACTGTAGATGCATCTTTGATGAACTTTGAATGAACAGTACTGTACTAGTCCAAGGAATTGACGCACTCCTGTGATATTTGATGGGCGGGGAGCATCCTGGATTGCCCTCACCTTTTCTGGTGATTTCTGGATACCATCTTTGCTGATGATATGACCCAGATACTGCACCTTTCTCTCAAAAAACTTGCATTTTTCAACATTCACATGTAGATTGTGTTCTTCCAATTTTTCTAAGACCTTTATGAGCCTGGATTTGCAATCTTCAAAAGTGCAGCTTTGTACAACAATATCATCAAAATAAGCCACTGTCCCTTCAAGATTTTGTACAACTTGGTCAATAAATTTATGAAATTCATTTGGATCTGTCTTAATTCCGAAAAACAGTCTTTTGGCTATATATGTACCCTCATGTGTGGTAATTGTCTTGATTTTAGAACTTTCAGAGTCCACTGAAAGATGTAAATATGCCTTGTAAATGTCTAACGTGCAAAAATAGTTTCCATTCCTCATTTTGTTAAGGATGTCCTCTATTCTTGGTATTGGGTAACGACTGTCATGTAGTTGTTGGTTCACAGTTTCCTTGTAATCTGCGCAAATACGGACCGATCCATTTGCTTTTGGAATCACAACAATTGGTGTTCCCCACTCAGATTGGTCCACTTTCTCTATTATGTCTTCCTTTTCGAGTTTTTCTAGTTCATTCTCAACAGCTTCTCGAAGAGCATGAGGTACTGGTCTGGGTTTTAAGTACACAGGTCTTGAATTATCCTTTAGTTTTAAAGAGCATGTAAAGTTGGGTGTTTTACCAATACATTGTTCAAAAACGCTTGAGAATCTTTGCTTGATGGATTTGACAACAGTGTTGGTATCAACCTCTGGTTTCTTCATACTAACAAGATTAATATTGTGTAAGTTAATTTTCAATTTTCGAATCCAATCCCTTCCAAGAATAGCGTTTTTAGGTAGATTTACAATGTATAGGTCTTCTCTGCAAGATCTCCCTTCGTAAGATATGCTTAGGGTACAGACCCCGATTGGTTTGAATATTTGTCCAGTATAAGATCGAAAAAGAGAACTTGTTTTGCAAACTGGAAAATGTAAGTCTAGTTTCTTGAAGTCATCATTATTTATTATGCTAACGCGGCTTCCAGAATCACACTCAAAACGTTGCTGTTTACCGTTTAGAGATACGTTTATCATCATTCTGTCATCTCCTTCGTCATTCTTCAATACATTTATGATCCGTTGAACGTCGTATTCATATTCAGAATCAATTTCATCAATTCTTTTTACATTTTTCTTTGAATACTGTAATTCCTGTATTCGTTTCGCGATACAAACCTTTTCTTTGTGTCCATCTTTATGACAATACCTGCAATTTAGCTCATCTATCAATCGGCAATTTTGTGTTTCATGGTTATTCCTTCCACAGTGCAAACAGACATCTGAAAATCCCAGTCCTTGCAGCCTTTTGTTTTGGTTGTCTTTCTTTTTGCTTGAGTCATTATTGTATTGAAATAGTTTATGGTTGATAAATTTTTGTTTTTAGGTCCAATTTTGTTCTTTGTTGTTTTACTGATTTTGTGAATGTCATTTTGATTATTACTATATAAAATCTGGTTGTCAAGTTTTGATGCCTCTATAGCCAAGGCAATTTCTAAGGCTTTTTCAAATGATATTTCACCCAGTTGTAAGAGTTTTTCTCTTATGTCTGAGTCATATAAACCTCTGAAAAAATTGAGACCTGAGCATAAGATTTATAACTGATTTTGTAGATTTTCCTTCATTACACCCAGATTTGAAATCTGCTGAACAAGCCAGTTGTTTGAGGTCTGTAACATAATTTGTGATTGATTCATTTCCATCTTGTAAACGTGATAAGAATTTGTGCTGTTCTGTAAACATACTTACAGAACAGCACAAATTCTTATCACGTTTACAAGATGGAAATGAATCAATCACAAATTATGTTACAGACCTCAAACAACTGGCTTGTTCTTTGGGCTTAGGTGCTCATTTAGTAATATCAGTAACTCTTGATATGTTTTTGAGTCTGGTTTGTCTGGAGATGTTAGACTACAGATCAGATTGTAGTGCTTAGCCCCTAAGCAATTGATTTAAAATAAACCTTTCAATTGTCTCTAAATCATTGTCTGTCAATCCTTTTATTTAAAAAAATATTTCTAAACGCTGAGTGTAGCTTTCAAACGTTTCCTTACTTTCATCATAAGCATCAAACATCAAGGCATTGCTCTGTAGTAGTTCCTTGGTACTATGTTTTGATCTAGGCTGTTCTGTCTGTTGAATTGAATGTTGTGTCATTAATGTCATAAAATTGTTCAAAGTAGATATAAGGTCTTGTATTTCAGTCATTTTCTTCCTCGTCGCCAAATTATTAAATAGAAATTAATACAAATTTATATAAACACAACTCTTGATACATGTTTATTTCTTAATTAATAATTAAAGGTAAACATTGAATTATTTACAATATGAAATTATTCCAGTCATATGATAAATATTAAAGTAAAAGATAGATTCTTGGAATATATAACAGGGATGTTGGTCAAAATTTGCATGTGAACATTTTTATCACCACAAAATTACAAGGAACGTGAAAACTATAATCTAGATTTTAAATGTATTGGATATTTACTGAAACATATTTTGGTAATTAAATACGCAGAGGATACGCATCCGGTAACCGGACGTGGATTAGGCGTCCGGCAGTTACCCCTACTGTCATAACCTAACCTAACCAACCAAACTTGCTGATAATGAAAAAATTGAATGAAGGTTAAATTTTCTTCATAAAATAAAATTATAAATGCCAAGAATTCTAACAAAAGATGTACCGTACAGTTAAGAAGAAATGGCATTCAAAGCTAAATGTTTTCGACAAAAAGTTTAAGTTATCGATGGGATTCGAACCAGGGACCTATTGCACATCAGCCGAGCACTCTATTTACTACACCACGAACAACAAGGACTGTACATCGTATCGTTGTCGTAATGGCAATCCGGGCCCCCACAACCTGGTGACGTAACTGCCGGACGCCTAATCCACGTCCGGTTACCGGACGTGTATCCTCTGTGAATTGAATAACATAATCTCCCAGAGAATCTCAGTAATCCAGGGATCAATTTATAAACCACATTATTGGGTAAACACACAAACATTGTCACCTTTAATCACTTACATGGAATTTTGTTAAATTTGTTTAAACTTACTAAAGCCTTCATTAGAGTAATTAAAACATACTTCAAATGGTTATTAGGGATTTATGTTGAAATTGAAAGTAGGGCCTAATCTAAATGTTGAAAATTTGCTATGCGTTTATTCAAGCATTGAATGAAGCTACTTCAATGAATTGGCAAAATGTTAAAGATAGTAAATTCAATTTACATAATCCACCCTAATTCAATGATTAGACTGTAACGGGTTTAAGTACCTTAAGCTTTTTCTTAAATGACTTATAAAAATATCTCTAATAATAAAGTATTTTTCACAATATTTACATTATTTCTTTATTTTTATTGTAATTTTTTACTTTGTGTGTTTTAACGCTATTAGAATTTTAAAGTTTGTGTAGGAAGGACCAAATTCTGGTCTTGTTATTGTTTTTTTCCTAGGACCCTAGATAAGAGCCCGGAATTATTTTTCACATTACTTCAGGCTGGACCTAGTAGCTGCGGCATTATCACTTTGAGATGAAATCCATTGGTAATTTTGCGGGATTTAACCGAGGACCTCAGGGACCGAAGTCTTAACCTTAGTAACCGTGCTCTTACCTTATTAGTCTTGTTACTAGACCTATATCAAAACTCGACCTCTGTAGGTAACATCACTTATTTAGGCCTAATTGTTTTACCAATGATGTAATGTTTTAGTGAATGAAGATGGTAGCAAGAAAATATCTATTGAAGAATCACAAAGTAGTCATTTGGATATTAAAACAGTTGAGACCAACACTAGCACTTCCCAAGTTTCTATTACCTACTCTACTTCTAATGAAATGAATGAAGGGAAAACGGATGCATCGGTAAAACCACAGGCTAGAAAAGGAACTAGACCAGGTATTAGTTTTGTGCTTGTATAAATTTATCGTTTAGGAGTTTGATATACATGAGACCCCCCTCTTTTAACCGGCACTGGTTGTATAATATAGATCCATCAATAGTGAAAATTTTTTTATCAAACAATAAAAGCTACTACTTAAATAAATATCACACTCAATTAATAGCCTACAACATATTGAAGTGTTAATACAGCTTTATTTGAACAGTTAAAATCCCCAAAAAATAGTAACCCCCAGTTTTAATAGAAAAATTGCAACTAAAAATTCTTGTTTTATGAAATAATTTTGTGTAAAATTAAAAATTTTCTTAGGTGATGGTATGGACCCAAACCGACCAAAATGCAAAAAAGCTAAACTGTTACGACAAGAGAGAAAAGAGAAAAAACTAGCCCAGATGGGAACTTTGCCCCCTGAAAAGGAAAAGAATAAACCAGCGCCAACTGTCAAGTCATTAGAAGATTTCTTAAATGAACCTCTACCAGAAAATCCTGCCCACAGGTTAGAAGTGAGTATAAAATAAGTCTAATTAACTGTGAAATCCTGCCCACAGGTTAGAAGTGAGTTTAAAATAAGTCTAATTAACTGTGAATGGTGTCTTGATGACAGTTAATATTAACTCCAGTCATTATAATTACTTTATTGTTCAACAATTTTATAAAAAAAAAATACTATAAACTTAAACTTTTTGTTCTGATGGTTGTGAATGTGCATTATGCAAGTTTATAGGTTAAACGTTTTGAGGATTCAGTACTTTGGTTATTGGACAGATTTTACAAATAGAATAGGTACTCGTAACCAAGTGTCAATCACTCAGTTCTGGTTTCAGCACCCAGATCATAGCACTACGGTAGTTTTTAGTTATTTTCATTGAGTAATTTTTAAACTTCTCATTGTCAGTCAAAGCTTTGTATTTGTTACTCAAAGCATCAAAACATGGTAAGTTGGGTGTTAGCACTAAAACAGTTTGATTTATGAACAATTTAGGCTGAATTAACGAGATGATAACCTTGTTACTATGATCAATTGACCTTAAACCAGGGGTAAATATTCAAATTATGATAACTAATAATGTCGTTTCAAACATTATAATGTTTAAAAATCTTTTCTTATAATCAAACTTGAAACCTGTTATTGACCTTTTGTTGATCAATAAAAAACATGGCTACCAGTCTGTATTTGATCAATATTGTTACCAGAATCTACTGAAATGTTCTATCTTTATATAGCCTACCGTACCTTATATTTAACAAGTTATCCATTTGATGGCAACTTTCCAAATAACTTCTTCCTTTCCAAGTCCTTAAACATTTTTCAGTTAGTTTGATGACTTTTGTAGATAAGGCTAGTGAGGTCGTACCCGGCCAGTCATGAGTTCACCGCAACTTTCAAAGCTGCTTTTGAAGTCTACCAACGTTACCAAATGACTATTCACAATGATCCCATTGAGAAAGTTAACGAGAAACAGTTTACCAGGTTTCTTGTAAATTCACCTCTGAAGGTAGGAATAGATAGAGTGATCAGCTGGGCCAGACAGACAAACAACTTTCATTAAAGACTTCTGCTAACATTACCTTTTATGAAAATTCTGCTATGCATTTACAAACTTCACCCCACTTTATCCGACCATCCCAAAAATTAATAACTGATCACATTTTAAGCTGTACATTTAAATCTTAAACACAGTCATTGGAAGATTGTTTGAAAACTGTTGTGTGTTGAAGATTCTTTGAAAACTGTTGTGTGTTGAAGATTCTTTGAAAACTACCCCTAATAAAAAATGCTGTGTGAAATTGATGAAATGTTTGTAAAAAATCCCGTTGTGACTGCAAGTCATACCGACAATGACACCGTGACCCCAAGTCGTACTGACGATCACGCTGTGACCACGAGTCAATTCGACAATCGCGCCGTGACCGCAAGTTATTTCAACGATCGCGCCGTGACCATGAGTCACAAGTTTCTATACCTGTAAATTGTTTCCAATTTGTTGGTTTTTATAATTCAGTGCCACTTAATGGTAAAAATTGATATTATTTGTCTTTTTTGTTAACTGCAATACTCAAAACTTTCAAAACAACCCTTCTTATGCACAGGAAAGAAATCCCGTCCCGTCCTGTCCCGAAAATTGGAAATAAAAATCCCGTCCCGCCCTGTCCTGAACTAAAATCTCAACCTTCCATTCCTATTTTTTTTTTTAATTTGAGGTTTTGTCGCCCAGTGGAGTATTAGTTTTTTTTAATTGAGTTAAAATCTGTTATACCTGTAAACAACTGTTTTTACTTAACCTTCACGATACATGTTACACATTACTTGAGGCTAGGCCTAGAGGGTGGCAACATGATCTTATAGCTAAACCCTTTGGTGATTGGCAGGGTATGAACCCGGGACCTCAGGGACGGAAACCCCACTAGACCAGCTCACTCCCCAGTAGAGCTTCAATAAAATAAAGTTTCAAATTGAATGATACGTTTATGTTGTTAGATAATACTGGTGAGAAGTGACTCGGCTGAAATGAATGACTCAATTGACACTAGTTGGGCTCTGTTTTCCAAATATCAAATGGCAATTCACAACGAGAAACCTAACGAATGTGACATGTCAACGTATACTGACTTTTTGGTTCAGACCCCTTTGAAGGTATGTTTGTCTGTCTGGCTTGATACTAATTTTTACTGTTAGCTTTAACAATTTTGTGATAAATGTGTATTGTGTGAATAAAGTATGTAGGCATTTTGTTTTCATGTCTTTACTGTAAGTATAAATGGTGTGGCTACTTTAAAAAATGCATATTTCCTTAAGTATTCTTCTTAAGTTCAGCAATGAAATAATGATTTATTAAGTTTTTAAACCAGAGTCTTATGAAATACACTGTTAAAGTAGTTTACACAACGATCGCGTAAAGATAGTGTTATTGACAAAGGTGTAGAAAATTTAAGATACGAGCCTTGGCGAGTGCTCTAAGAACTTCTTCAAGTGTCGTTAAGACTATTTACGAGAGTTAAACTACTTTAACTATGGCACTTTTTTAATTACTAACAATCACTACTAAGAGCTTCTAAGAGAGGTTATGTTTTCATTTTTCATGTAATCTAAACAGCTGATTAGTTTACGTTCGAAGCACTCCAATTCTAGTCGCTAGAATTTTTGCTCGTGTGAACTGATATGTCGCCGGGCTGCTACAATTCTAGTCACAACCTAGCGACTTCCTAGTAGCTAGATTTGTCGCTCGTGTGAACCGGACCTTATGTCTTCATTTACATACATACACAAATACTCGCACTCATGATTTGTTTCAGCTTTGTGATGTTTTTGCAGCATTTAAATGATGATGGCTCAATACTGTATGTTTATATTTCAGCATATAAATAACTAATTTGGCCAGTTGATTACTTTTTTGTTGTGTGATGGCAGCCGTGGATGCCGAGAGATGGTCCTCCGCAAGGCTATGGATCGTTCCACCAGCAGTACTGGCTGGATGGTAGACTCATAGCTGTCGGAGTGTTGGATATCTTACCTTCATGTGTGTCCTCGGTCTACTTCTTCTACGACCCAGAGTTCCATTTCCTTGTACTCGGCACTTACGGGTCTCTTAGGTAAATGTTGAAACTTTAATTATTAGGCTCGATTAGAAATAATATCTCTAACGAAAGAATGAAAGAAAAATTTTATTTACTAAACATATTATTAGAATTTTACTCTTAAATGTTAACTCTAAGATATTATAGTGTTTTGAAAAATCTCTTGATATTTGTTTTAAGATAGTCGAATTATTGCGCACCCCAGGAAGTTGTTTTATTGATAGACCCTACAGATTCAGGCATCTGATGAATTGTTGTATCCCATCAGTTCCTCCACTGGAAGGTACTACCTTCAACCACCTCTTATAGTTGTCCTTCTAGCCTCAGAGAACTGTTCACAATAAAGAGCAGGTGTTCGGCTGGTTCCTTTAACCTATCGCAATTCCTACAGACTGGTTTGCCATCATACAAGCCCAACAGTTGTAAATGTTTCCTAAACCGCCCATGTCTGGTAATCAGTTCTACTATTAGTTTAACGAGGTGTTAGCCCGTCCTACGTACGGGAATTCAGTAGTCAGTTAAAACCGTGTACAATTCAGATCAGCTAGTTTACACATATAAAGACAAAGTTTCTTGCAGTTTTAATGTGAAAAATCATCTTGTAAATAAGTGTTGTGTGACCAAATATGCTTTTATTCCATCATAGGCCTATACAATATGCATTTTAAATCCGATAATTTTACAATAAAACAGCAATTTTTACGATGTGAAAAGCGTTGAAGTGAGATTTGCAGCCAATTCGCACAGACGCACACTGATTATAAGTAGCCTACAGTTGAGAGTAATATAATACACTACATACTACTAATAGTCAATTGAGAAGTGTATAGACCTAGTCAACGATACCACCTTCCATAGCATACCTGCCTCTTCCATAATAATTATTATCACCACAATACAACTACTATACACAATTTCCAGTAGGTCTGAATAGAAACTACCTAAAATAAAACGATAGTATCCAATAAAATTCACAGTACACATAATATAACTTTGGTGTCCTAACATCAAAACTAATCGTCACACCTATACTTTATATCAATTTCACTGCATTAATTGTTAAATAAATAAGCGTAAACAAAGAAAAGTAAAAACATAACAGTTTGTTTTGAAACAGCTGTTTGGTTCGAATAACATTCATTTGAAAAAAGAACTGGTCACATGTAGCAGGAATATAAAAAGTAAACACGCTAGTAAAGCTAATGACGTAATTGGCAATGTTTATTATCCATACCGTTATCAGTTCTATCCTTGGTAATTACCCACCCTCATTGAATAAATGTACATCGTAATTTCCCATATTAGTTAATTTAAACTACAATATATTCATAGTTGAAATAAAAGTGTTATTTTCACGTTTGCGTGACCACAACTGAACACGATTTCATAAAAGGATGGTTTGTCTAATTGCAGTAACCTAGGTCAATGTTGACGTTGTGTTCAATCTATGTCATCCATCTGTTTATATCTTTGTATAAAACCCGGCTAGGTTGTGGTGGTAATTTAAAATCGTGATTACTGATTATTCTTGATCTTCTTTTTATGTCACCAATATTTCCGGGACTAATCCAAACAAAGTTAAAGCAGACAAACATTAATTGTAAACAAAAAGCTACCATGAAGAATTAAAACATGTAAACATTGTTATTTTTCTAATATTTCCTTGAAAAGTGGAGCAGTAAAATAATTTGCATTTATCTTTTTTTATTAAGACTCGTGTACAGAGCCTCGATTTGTACTGTGGTTTAATTAATTTTGGTTAAAACTGTGGTCTAATTATCTCTACTAATCTTACTTATTTCCTATAGTCAATAACAAAAATAAAATAACCTCATAGTTCCATAGTTTATATTTAACCAGCTGTTAAAACAAATTATATTGCTCTAAAACAAATCTTACAAAGATTGCTTTAAAAAATAATGTGAACATCCTAGTATTTTACTATGTATATTTAAATAATCTGTCATCCTCTTATCGAAGGATTGAACGTATCAATGATTAGCATTACACATAGTATAAATAAGTCAACCCTAAGAATGTATTTACATTTTTATCCAAATGCTGAATTTGTGATACAAAAGCTGAATGTTTACAGCTGTTATGTTAAGCAAATTATTTTATGCAAAGAGCTAGTTTAGAATCTTAGCGTCGGCTGCTAGACTTTTTAAAAATTAAAACTTAATTTATTAAAAACTGGGACCCTAAACTAAAATTATGGCTTCGACATTCCCTAGTTCTCAAAATTATCTTTCTTTCAACACAGAAATCATGAAAATCCGTCGAGTGGTTGATTCAGAATCGTGAAATAAAAAAACACTGTTTCGTTTTAATATTATAGATTCTTTACATATCCAGTCTCAAAAAGTCTGAAGCAACCCGTTTAGAAGGTGTATGTGGAGTGAGCTTGCTAACTCTTAGGAGGCGTTTCAACCCAATGTTTCTTGCACGTTTCAGGGGCCTCAATCATATTTGCCACTAACGCAACATTTGCCAGTCTGTCTGCGGCTTTGTTGCCTTCAATGCCTGAGTGTCCAGGCCCCAGCTAAGCGTAGAATCATTCCTCCTACCCTTCAGACACAGAGGCAAGACAGTCCCACACGATATTTGAATTAATTTTGTATGAGTTGAAAGCTTTTATATCTTTGCTAAGATTTTCACTAGCACAAACCAAAATAGCAGTGACCTCCGCTTGAAAAACTGTCAGGTGCAATCTCATTGGAAGGCTAATACTTCCAAAGCAAACCGGCACCAGTCCCCCTTATCTGACCTTAGAACCATCAGTATAGCATTCTACATCACTTACCATATGCCTCTTTCCACCAAGCTATACTTCCCTAGTTGGAAGAAGTACATTAAATGGCTTACTAAAGAAGTTTTTTTTTTTAGACATAAGGCATATCCAACATGCTAAAGTGTAATATTTTTTTATATTTTGTTGTCAGAGAGATAGCGTTCTGTCGGTCCCTCCACCACTCCGCCCCCAGTCTGAGGTACTACTACATGGGGTTCTACATCCACTCCTGTCCCAAGATGAGGTACAAGGGGGCATACTACCCCTCACTGCTACTGTGTCCTGAAGTCTACACCTGGCACCCGATAGAGTACTGCATCCCTCTGCTGGAGAAGAGCAAATACTCCAGGTACACAACATACCCTTAAAGTGTTCCCCATTGCTATATCAGGATTTTGCTGCAATTGTTGAAGTCAATGGTAATGTAAGCGAGGAGTTGGACTAGCCGAGGTCGGATTAGTGAGGTTCTACTGTATAGATACATTTACTTTGGTGCAATAAAGACACAGGACAGGATAAGGAGGCTTACCTTAAAAATTGTAGGCATCCCACTTTGCAAAAGTAACACTAAACAAAAATTTAATTCTTCAAAGTCACTGTCCTCTTTAAAAAAATTGTGAGTCACTAAATTCGGGAAGTCCTTCACTGGTGAAGCAGTGTTGCCAACACAATATAAATTTACAAATGAATATGAAAGCTTACGTGGAATAGTAATTTCCACTCTACGCAATTTTTAGCCAGTTTTGTTGTGAAGAAAATTGTCTCATCAATGATCTCATGTTCTGCATGCGCACAAGCACTCTTTTCACCACCACGCTTAGGTTCAGTCACCTCCACAATAAATTACCGTTTAATTTAGTACTGCCAGCATCTTGTAGTTTGACTCAGTATTGTTACCTTTCCCGAATCCTACATGCCATCCTGATTGACAAGATCTCTAATATTCTCCATTAACGTAAATAAAGAATATTGCCTTTTGGAGATAAACCTGTTGTTGTCCAGGTTCAATGAGGACCCTAATGCCAAAGACACTGACCAAGTGGTGGACATTAACCTGGTGACAGTTTTGTATCACCACAGAGCCATGACCTACCATCAGTACATCTCTCTCAGTCCTTCCAACACACAGAAGGAGGAAGTGGAACAATACGCTAGCTTGGTGGGCAACAAACTCTCCCGCAAAATGCTGCTCCTCATCACATGAAAGCTTGCTTCTGGCGTACTTACAAAAATCACTTCGATATTGTCAAGTTTTCGAAAAAAGTTGTGTAGTTTCTATTAATTTATTAAAATATACTTTTGAATTTTTTTATTTTGTTCTTAGACTTTTTGAGATTTTGAGACGTTACTGCTTTGTGATAATTGTTACTTGTGATGTATTCATACTGTAGGTTAATTAAGAATCAAATAAAGAAGTCAGTGTAAAATGTTAATTGAGTCAAACCACAAAAAAATATCTTCATGCATATATTTTTTTACATTTCTAGGTCTGATCTTTAGTTGACTATTCCTCTCCGTCTTCTAATCTTCCTCCTCCATCTCACTCCTTTCTTCTCCACAACCTTCTTCAACTTATTTATCCCACCTTGCCTAGATCCACCTATCTTCTTATATTCCACCATCAACTTTATTTTGTAAGATTTTTTTTTTATTTTGTGAGCTGGTGGCTCAAGTGATGGTGTGAGGAAACTCGTAAACACCTTGGCAATATTTTGCTTTTTGGACCCTAGTGCTACTAGCTGCTACTAAACTTTGTTAGTAGTCCTACTTATATTTGCATTTTAGCGACATTCTCCATGTTTTGATAGACATGAACCTGACAACAGTGTAAATAGAGGAACGCAAGGTAAAAGAGGCTGCCAATCTTTTTATAAAAAGTTTATTTTATTAATAGATAACAAAATGTGTTAATATTAAACCTTGGTCTACATAATGTCATATAACAGTTAAACCTAGGTCTACTTAACGTGTTTCATGTATTTCAAACAAAAACAAAAAATATTCAGAATATTTTCCCCAAAAAATTATACTAATTAGTCTTGGTGAAGGTCAAACTTGTACAATATCCATTTTAGTATTTATTATTTCTTACTTTGACTAAGAATACTTACACTATTTATATATTTACAACTACATACTAAGAGATGTAGAAAGGAAGGGGTAAAACTTGTTCCAATTTCATGATTCATCAAGGTACTTGAGTACAGAATACTGAAACGACTGACTTGATAAATAAAAGTATGGAAGTGTTCACCCCGGATGTGTACATATTCCAGTTTTCCTCAGCGGAGGAGTGAATTTCCTGTTGTGGGATCGTTGGAACATGTTATCTTCATGATCAAGATCTTCACGCTTGGCTACAGCTGGGCAATGATAAATTATGTGTTACATTTCATGTGGCGTTATGACATTTATCTACCAATTATCAATAGGTTTTCATTTTTAAACTTACTTCTTTGAACAGTCATGATTTATATATAACTTTTTACAGCCTAGTGATTAAAGTGCTCGTCTAGTAATCATATTGTTGCCAGATAATGTTTGGTTCATTTCTAGACTTCACTAAAAGCAAAAGTCATACTAACTAAAATGCTTCTAATAATATTTATTTACATAGTCTCGACCACAACGTTAGAAAAGATCTGTCATAAATGTATGAAATGCCTTTGGTTTGAACAAATGCAGGAAATGTAAATAAAAAAGTGTAGGGTTGCCAAGAAAGAAGACCATGCAGTTTAAATAATTTTCATACTTTCAGAACCTTTTTACTATTTGTTATTCACTCTTTGTGTTGTATCATATTGACAGCAGTTTGCTCTCCTCAGCTTCATACACTTCAAGTGTTAGACGCTCACAACATATTGCTGTTCAAATCACGTTTCAAATAACTTTAATTTAAAAATCTTACAAGTTTACCTACCGAATTTTAATTTATAGTGACTCAAAGCTATCCTGAAAAAATGATGGGGGGTTTTAGAAATTATACCTAACAATGTTTAAAAAATCTTGAATCACAAAACTATTTTAGTATTTTTAATGCATAATTACCACTGAAAGTTTGCAAGCAACATAAAGGAAAATAACCATAAAGAAAATGTTTACAAGAGTTTTTTTGTGACTAATAAATAAAAACAGTTTTAACAATTTAAAAGTTTGATATATGAGGATAACCACAAGAATTCAGTTAAATTTTACTACACTACTGTACTTACATATGACAGGGTGAAATCGGATAGTTCGTGGAGTTCCCTCGTTGTGAATACTCCCAACCGAGTTTGTGAATGATGGATTTTTGTAACCTAAAACAATGGTAGATTACTTACATACAATTTTACAGGTAAGTTATATAGTTGTTGAGGCTTCAATGGTTGATTTTGTATCTGATAATCTAGTTTGCTTGCTTGCTACAGGTAGGTTAAAAGTACAATTCTAAGAATGCTTTAAGATTCATGATTGGAATTTAAGTATCCTACAGCATATATAATGAATTAAGTAAATTTTAAAGTAAATGACAAGGTAACACATTACTACAACATGAAATACTGTACTGTATTTTTATTCCTCAAGGTTAATCATAGTTTTATATTACGCCATGTAGTGTGTCATCACTAATTTTTCACCACTGTGCCCTAGAAGGCTTGAGGCTTATTAAAAAATCCACAAACACAAATCAGTTGGGATAAAGTATTTCTGAACATCATCCACCGTACTGGGAAGGGGATTTTGTTGATAAGTGATGTTATTCTTGAATTGAGAATCATACATTTGACGTTCATCATTCTAGAACCAGAAGCTTGTAATAGCAAACTTTAAACTCAAGCTACGAATGTAGGAAACTAATGTACTTTAAATACCGTACTTTACATTGAAATGGCGACCATACGGATGTAGGTATTTTAAGCCAAGTATGAATTGAGATGAGTGGCGCGATCTTGTAGTCTTGTTAGCGACTGAGGCTGACTACTCCTTAAACACAGCTGTTAGTTAATAACGCATACAGCTAATGGTAACTTAGGGACCTACAGTTTATAGTGGAATTTGAATCACATTTTTGCCTTGTAATTAACAAATTTGTCTAATTATTAGGATAGTCGTAGTACTCATTAGTGCTGACGTTAATCCGCACCAGGGAGTATCGCATCCACAGTGCATTCCTATAAATATCCACAATTCATGACCCCCTAGTAGCTTAGCTGGACTACAGGACGACGCCAGTCTATGACTCCTAGTATAAAGGACTTAAGTCCCCGAGCTCATGGGTTCAAATCTTGCCAATCCCCATTGTCTTTTAGTTATGTTATACGCCACTAACCGCTAGTAGCATGATGTAACGTGTAAATGGTTCTGGGCTTAAGCCTAGTGTCCTAGGTTGTGAAAATGGGGCTTAAAATTGTGGAAGTCATACGATGAAAGTCGTCCTTGGAAACGCACCATTCTCATTGCCCAAGTCAGTGTGGTTGGAGGCCATGTTGCTGGAAAGGGTGTTGACACTGAATGAGGCAGTTCTGTTATGAGCCATCACCAACTCCTTCGTGTTCTTCTCAGGAGTGAACACCACTATGTACAGCTTGGGGAGAAACAAACAGCCTAGCTGCACAAACCCACTGAAACAGTGCAATCCAGTATATGTCAGATAAATAACTGTGAACAGATATTTCTGAACTATTTCTAAAAATTTGCAGGATTTAAGAAATAAGGTCCTGTCCTCATCAAACCCTATAAAAGGTTTTGCCTGCTTTTTATAACTCTTCTCACCTTATGAATGTATGACATAAGCAGAAGTGTTTTAAATGCCTCACTTCATGAAACTTCACATTTAATTGTTACCATTCAATTAGTACGTCCTGTTTTGTTTAGTACAAGATTCATCCAAAATACCCATAAGTAACTTAGTTACAGTAATTGTTGTGCAAGTTTGCCCTCCGCCTAAGCCTCTTTCACACGAGGCGCGGCGCCCGCCGGATCCGGCGTAGGGCTATGGGAGTATATGAGTCCTTTCACACTATGTCCGGCGCGCGCCGCGCGGCGAATTCGCCGCACGGCGCGCGAGTTACCGCCGGATGCACCTTGAGCCGGACGACAGCGCCGCGCGGCGTCCACGCCGGACAACTCGGTGAAGGTGCATTGGTTCTTATGGGAGCTTTCACACGGTGCGGCGCGCGCCGCACGGCCCAACCCCTACGCTGTCTCAATTTAGGCAAACTACCTGACCAAGAGGGTGCAACAGTTAATTAAGAAATTATATATCGTTGTATCGGAAAATAATATATTTAAAGTTATTACAAAACATACATTTTTATGTTAATCCCATGCAAATCGACCAACTTAAAGTATTAAAACAAAAATTTTCCTTTAATAACTAGAGGAGAATATTTAGTATTAAATTAATAATTTAGTAATTTATACGTAATGAAACATTTTTTTTAACTTCTAGAATACAATATTTTCAGATATGACGAATACTTATATACGTGAAGGTGATTTCTACGAAATACTACTCCTCCGTTAATAATGAACCGATTTTTACAAACGACGTGTCAAAATTAAGTATTTGTTGTGTACACGCCCCCTTTCACCAATTCCTGTAGTAAAAGTCCTCGGGCTTTGCCCCTCAGGCCATCAAAATCCCAATGTATATCTTATGAAGACAAGATTTTGTTTAGTTAAACATGGTTAAACGGACGAATAATTTGTATTAATTACAGCTGTTCATAGTACACACATGATACACCCAAGAGTTTTCGTTTTCAGTTTCGATAGATGGAGTGGAGTGAGCGTTCGTTTTCAGAGTGAGTTCGTTTCCAGTTTCGATAACTGGAGTGGAGTGATTGGTTACATTATCTTTGAGTTGACTCTCACACGTCAACGGAAATAGTGACAGTTATTCGTAAAAAAAAACTCCTTTAATATTTTGCAATTGCTCAAATTCGAGCAACAGGTGCGCTAGTTTATTATATTTAAAATTATCCTATTCATTTAATTTGAACTTGTAAGTGGAGTATTCATTTAAAAGCCACAACTGAACAGAAAATAATAAATATTTAGGAGTGCCGTACGGCGCGCGCCGCACGAAACCGTACTAGTGTGAAGACACACGCTTGTCCGGCGCAGCGCCGCGCGGCGGACGCCGTACGGCGCGCGCCGCTTCGTGTGAAAGAGGCGTAAAATCAGCAAACTCCCACAGGATGGTTGGTTTACTAAACAAAAATCCACCCCAAAGTGTAAATTCAAAATTCTACTCTTCTATAACTTGCCATCTCACGCAGAGGTGCCTGAAATAAGTAAGTTTCAAATACTTTAAACGATAATTCTGGCTTTCGGACAGCCAAAAATTATCCACAGCATGTTACATGCAATTGTTTGTAGAGGAAGGAACTAGATACTGATTTACCCTTACAAAGAAAATTTCTGCAGTATCCTTTAATCCTTAAAATCTAGTTTGAAAAAAGGATTGAAATGTTTTTATAACACATAGGGTATACCTGAGAGACAAAGACATTGCTAAAGTGACAACTCTGATGGTGTAACTGGTGGAGGCAATGTACAATGGCACAAACGCCAACCAAATGATGATAGCAGTGTAGTTGGTGAAGCCTATGTGTCTCGCTTCATTGAACCCGTCAGGACACTTCCTTGTGAGAAAGGCGTAAACTGTGCACACTCCTGGAACAGTTTAAACATTTCATTCAAACATGTAAACTATAGAGGCAATGTACAATGGCACAAACGCCAACCAAATGATGATAGCAGTGTAGTTGGTGAAGCCTATGTGCCTCGCTTCATTGAACCCATCAGGACACTTTCTTGTGAGAAAGGCGTAAACTGTGCACACTCCTGGAATAGTTTAAACATTTCCTGATGAATTAGGATTGAGATGGTTTCCAGTGGATAGATGGATTTTTAAATTGTCTAAAGGCTGTCTGAAAGGTGAAAGGTTTCTTTTAGACATGTTGCTAATTAAAAAAATAGAAAATTAATATATTATTTAAGGATCTTTTCTTTTAATTACCATTCTTTATCACTTTTCTGTTTCTTCCCTATAGTCTCATTTTTGTAATACTGTATGCATTTTCTCCCTCAGTTTTAATAATGTATGATGTGCATAAAACTGATGATCAGTGTGGCCTGGTTAAAAGTTGGTGCATGGAAGAAATCGGAGATTGTTAGTTCATAACTTTGTTTAAACTGGCTACAACTTTAACATGGAAACGTGATGTCTACAGGCTGTATCATCATAACTTAAACCAAAGCAGCGCCTGGTAAATATTTTTTAACCAAACTCACCAAACAGAATTTTTAGCACAATTTTTAACACAAAAAATCATAGCTTTTTAGTATAGTAAAAATATACACATAGGAACGGAATGCCTACCTATTAGTACAAATGGGTAGGAGAGACCGATGAGGTAGGAAAAATCCCCCAAACCAGAGCAAACCCTCAGCCTAGACTCCCTGGTGGGGAAAATGTGGCTGACGAAAGGTGGATCATACAGGAACCATCCGATGTTGAGGAAGATCTGAACTGAAGTGAGAAGTGCTGTGATGAGCACCTGGGACTTGGGACTTATACATCTAGAAACAGAATGAAAATATGGATGTTAAAGAGTGAAAATATACACCTCAAGATGGAGTTAGTGATTCTGAAAATGTATCTTTTTATCTTGCAATCAATTCATCCAGATCCATCCGGTAAACCTACCAAAACCTATACCACATCCTTAAGTAAATGTTTAATACAGGGTGAGTCGGTAGCTCAGTCCGTAGCGCCACGGACTTCGGGCCCAAGGCAGCGATGTCGTAGCGGACCCCTCTTATACTGTAACGGCTCACCCCTTGCGTTACAAGGTAAAAGAGGCCGCCACCCTCTTTAAACAGAGAGTTTAACTTGTACAATACCATTACCTTGTTCTGTGAAGATTACCCCCACTGTTGAATATCCTGGCGATTCGATTAGTCTTTGTAACAATTGCTGCGTAGCAAAGTGTAAATGAAAATCCGAGGAGGAATCTTGTGGCAACACAACTCGGAAAAGTAGGCGGGGCTACCATTATGTAGGTGAGGAAAAACTCCAGGAAAGTACCTGTAACATGTTTTTCCTTTATTATAATATATATAGATTTATTGCACTGATTGCTCTTAAAATATGCAGTGGAGTAATTACATTAAGCGGCACCCCCCCTGCCCCCCAAAAAATCACCACTTATGTTCTTTTCGTTTATCTCAGGAAAAGCCGTGATCACGGCAAAATACAAAAATTCTCGCAGAAGTTTTTTAATCGCCTCCCTCGGTCATGGAAACAGTAATCTTTTTCCTTTATCGAGGTGATATCTTTATATCTCCTGCGTTTATGTAGACATGATCATTGTCTCCCGCGGTCATTGGAGTTGCGGGGGTGTTATTTACGCCACTGTAAATATGTTAAACTTTGGTTAAATTCTAAGCGAGATCATCTCCAGACAAAGAAGGGACTTGTCACTGGTCTATCAATTAATGATGCTAACAAAAGATCGACATTAGATAGTAACAATACTAGGTTTTTGACCATTCCCCCACAAGAACATTAAAATACCAAAGGGGTAATATACACAATAAATCATAGGAATGAACTGTAACAACTCACCAAACAAGAGCAGGTAGCTCAGTTCACGGCCAGAAGCCTTAACCACAGGAGTTTCTGCGTTTCTCCAGAAAATGTAGGATATTATAATTGTAACTGTTATTCCTAGAACATTGAATCATTTTATGTAGTGTATTTATCACACCGTAAACCAATTGAGCTGTGACCAAATTTCCCCTAGAATTGATTAATTATTCTCCTGGATCAGATAAAGAAAGCAAATTCAGATTTATGGATGTAATCGTAGAGCACAAGGGCCTATAGGATTTTTGAGACGATAGTTGGCTTACCTGAATGGCAAAAAGTCCAAACTGGCACAAGGAACACAATACTTTACCTGTATATAGTTTAAAGTTTTGTGTTTCCTGTGCTAGTTTGGACTCTTTCCCATTCAGGTCTATCAGTCTATCCTGCTATCCTCACAAAAAATCCTAAAATGAAGATTTATGTTTGGTAACCCTTGTGTGTGTTTTTATTTTCATATAATTTTAAACTATTTTACATGCTTCAAACTTATTGGAGTAAACAGAGCAATATTATTAATCCACTTGTGTTTTAAAGGCCCGTTCACACGAGGCGAGTTTACAAGCTACACACCAGCGTGTAAGAAGCAGGCGAGTTGGCGAGTGTGCTTGTATTTGTTCACACAGAGCTTGTCCACTCGCCAACTCGCAGACGTGTAGAAAGACGCCGGCGAGTGCGCTTGTAGTCGTTCACACGATGCTTTTTCCACTCGCTCAGTAGCTGGCTTGAACCAAATCCTCCAACATCTTTGAGTAACAAGTGCACAATCACAAGCAACTGTGTTCACACTGGGCTACTTTACACGCCTACTCGCTCAAAAGCTGGCGAGTTGGCGTGTAAAGTAGCGGCAGCGTCAACTTTTTCCAGAGCTTTTTTACAAGCAGCTTTTGAGCGAGTACGTCGTTCACACTGAGCTATTTTACTAGCTGCGTGTAAAAAAGCCGGCGTGTAGCTTGTAAACTCGCCCCGTGTGAACGGGGCTTAAGTGAGTTGTGCTTTTAAGCTTCTAGAGCTTTAATTTTCTCAGTCAAGCTAGCTAAAATCCATCCCTATACATAAAAACTCTTTACAGTATAGATAGGGGTGTTTCTACTAATATTACCATAGTTAAAAAGAAATGCTTATTAAAATATTACCTACTGTGGCTACGATGAGGGCTGGAGTTGCCCATGGGTTTGTGTAGTTGATGAAATCTTCTGGGATCTCCACACAAACAGATTTGTTTCTAGAAGGCAAAAATCCCCGATCACACCCTTGGCAGTGAAAATCGTCAATTTTCCTCTCGTAAGGAGAACAGTTTATACATGACCAACAGCATGTGTCGTCGTACTGAAATCAACATTTGTAAATATGTACCAGTAAATAATGGTTGATATATTTGGAATGGTTATATTAAGTATTAATCAGTGGTGTAGTTGTAAAATTTCCTAGGTTGGGAAAGCTTATCAGGGTCATGGAAAAATATGGATCGCTTATCAATGTGTTCTTTGGAAAAAGCAGAGCGGTAACCCCGCTCTCAAACATTCCTGTTCTACTACAACCCTGAAGTTAATCATTAAAGCTTCCATGAAGACAATCTTTCGTACAGTTAGACTTTAATTTATTTTTTTACAAACACAATTTTTTTAGGGGATATTTACTATTTCATTATTAAAACTGTAAAGGAGTGAACTCTTGTACTAATTAATAAGGCAGCATTGTAGAAGCATAAAATTACAATGCCAACTTGGCATTTCAAATGTGGGCCTTCTGCAGACTACTGTTCCAGTGTAAAAGCAAGTTATAACAACTATTTGTTTAAATAAAATATGATTTCCAACAAAATTTAAGACAAGCAACTACTATTCAAACCAAAAATAAATCACTTGAATTACCTCTCTTATTCGAATTTGCAGATCATCACAAGTTTGTGTGCATCTTGAAGATGGAAAATCTTTTAATTCTCGACTGAATCTTATTCGCTTGCTGTCTAGAAACAACTTGGGTGATCCGTATTCATCCACTTCAACATAAAATATAAAGTTAGATAACAATAAAATAACAAAAATGTACTGATTTAATCAATTAGTAATTTTTTTAATTGGGGAAAAATCTACTAGTGTAATTATTTGGAAAGCATGGCTTGTCTGGTGATTAGAGCGTGGTATGGTTAGATCGTTGTATGGTTAGAGTGTTGTACTGAGTAAAGGTTACTTAAGGTCATGGTTTGGATTCTGCTAAACACCAAAGACTTATGTATGTGATAATGTCATAATAATGCCGTAACGATGGTTTAAAACCTACCGAATACTCTAACGCCACCAATCTAGAAAATAGTTCATCTTGGCAAGAAGATCTCTCTCTGCATTAAAGAACTCAATAGTAAGCATAAAAGTCATACACTTAAAAAATATTAATAGAAATATGAAATATTTTGTATTGGTATTTCTACATAGCTTTTAAAAATGTGGTAGATCAAAACAATAAATATTTTTCTGTAAATGTTTACGTATTATGTATGCTTACAAGTGTAGTTGCCCACAATCTGCCACTGGAATGCGTTTACATCAGTTCTCTGAAAGTTCAAGATTGAGTAACGGGGTGGTCCATCCCGACCCTTCAGAAACCGGAATGGGTTTCCTTTCTCATCTGAGAAAATAGTAAACACAACATTAGTAATTTAAAATGGACAAACAATTTTTATTCACTTTTGTAGTACCCAAAAAAGAAACAACCAATGGTCTGTAGTAAAACAGGTGTAAATCTGTTAATGAAATTCCTTAAAACTCCTGTGCTCCATCTCACAAGATGTTCTATGTTGCCATTGAAATTCCATGCTCAGCTGACATTGGTTTCATTTTCAGTCAGTCAGAAAAAACACGACTTCTTAGAAGAGTACACAATTTTGATGGAAGACCTCATGAGCATAATAACTCTCCTAACTATCGGCACTATCACAATGTGCCAATTATACATATTACCATAACGAAACATTCCACATAGTGTGTAGACTTTTAATAATAGCTAGTTTGTTATCTGAACTACCTTTAAAAGTGACATTCCTGATGTATTCAACGACTTGGCTGTTCTCTATGTGACTCATGTTGGCACAAAGACCAGGCAATCCACCACACTTGTCTCTGAAGCAGTTAGAAAATCATACACATTAGGATGTAATTACATTTTATCAAACAATAAGGTAACCTTCCATCATTTAAACCATCATTTTGGTGTTTGAAGCTGTACCATTGACTATAAAAGTCAGGAGCAACACTATCTATCTAATTCATTCAACACTCATCCATAACCATAATATACACACCCTCTGGTGTGTCGTGGTATTCGTCTTGAATCTAATCTATTAGCAGCTAGTTGACATTACCTGTGCATGTTGTGTAGAGCTGTCGCTACTGCGTAGACAGCGTCCCTCACAAAGTGTAGACAGGAATGTTGTTGGAAACCCTTATCTTCTGTGATTGTCAAGTCCACAGTGCTGCAGTCTTGAGAGCTCTAGGAACAAAACCACATCCTAATGGAAGTGTAAAGTTATATCTACAACTATTCTTAATGTTTGGCTAGATAGTAGTCATATAACACTGTACTTGTCTAATAAGGTATAGGAAAAACATGTGTGGAGGTGGCATCTGGCAGAGGTATGCATGTGACACACTATAGGCCTGAGAGAAAATTGTGGCCCCTTCCCCCGTCATTACAGGGGAATTCATTTATCTTCCTTGACCCCAAAAAAACCTATACAACCTCTTGCGCCCACTATAGCGGCCCTGGACTACATGATACCACCATGACTAAAAATGTGGGTTATGATAACCCGGAGGGAAAAAATATTCTTGATAGGTCCAGATGTAAGGGTCAGGATCACCCCTGAAGTAGCCTCAGTCGGAGAATACTAAAGAATTAAAATTGACTAGTCAACAACCAGAATTAGTAATTACCGAGCCATAGAATTCCAGTTCACATTAATTTGAATTAGTGATGACAAAATACGTCATTACCAAAACACTAAGTGATATGCCATAACATAGGAGCAATAGAATTTCAAATTTAGCAAATTTAATTTTTTTTTAATTGTTTTTTGTATGTTTTTGTTTGTTGTTTGTATGCAAACAAATGTTTTATGTATGTTTCAAATTTCATCAATATGTAACTATACATGCCACATTATTTTGTAGGATATCAGTTTTTTTTTCTAAACAAGCTAGGTGAGAAACTTTGTGTTCAATTGAACTATAAAATATTAAGAAAGTTATCATTAAATAATTTATTTGACTAGGTAAATGCTTTATTATTCACTTCCCCATGTAACATATAAACAAAAGAAAATAAACCTAATGTTTTTTTTTTTTTAACTAAATACAATAAACATAAATAATGAATAAAGAATTTATACATGATTTTTGTTCAGTTTTTTGAAAGAGTGATTTATAGACACCAAATTATTTGTACGAAAATGAAAATTTTATAAATATGAATTTGTTTCAGAGTCAATGCTACCACGAGGGTGCATGCATGGATGTTTATTTCTTGTAACTTTTTACAAACGAGACTTACCTCAGACACATTTGGATCTGACTGGTTGTAGAAAGAACAGTGGAAGAACGCCTCCAAGTATTCTTTAAACCACGGATTCACCTTCTCGTGGTTTTCCACAGTCAAGCCGGCAAGATACTCATCAAACCCTTCCAAATGACTTGCTAGAGGCTGTATGGCTAAAGCCCCTTCCAGGACTTCGTGGCTTTCCAAGTCATCTGTAACGAGCGATAAGTTTAATGAAAATTCAGACATATTTCCCTAAATAATAATACAATATTTCCCTCATAATAATATTTTTAAAATTAAACATTGAAACATCATTCTCCGCTCTTGAAGTAAGTCTCCACCTTTATGGGATACTCACTATTTATATTAGCAATAATTGATTCAAAAGAAAATCAACACTCTCGTATGACTAGAGTTCTGTGATTAATTCTTTGTCATACAAGTGCTCAATACATGATCAAATGTATCACAAGTAGACAATGTCTATGGGAAAAAGTTTTTGGATGATGTAAATAATGTGTTTAAGTGGTTTTTAATAGTTGGCTGAAGAACATAAAACTGCATGACGAGACCAAAACGCAGTTGTTTATCGATTTTGGACAAGTCATTGAAAAAGCTAAAAGAAATTAGGCTTTCGGACCACTATGTTTGAATGTAGGAATGATTGGTGTGGAGACATAAGACTGCCATGGACAACATTAAACCATGGTATATTCAAACATGCCAATCAACTACAAAAGTATCTTAATCTTCCCTCACACATAATTAACTTTTCACCCATAACATACATGCAGTTATTTTATCAATGAAACACCAATTATATTCAATTATATTAGTAAATAATATTATATGCAATAATAAACCTCCAAAAGCACCATTTTGAAACTACTTATTTAACTTTACAATAAAGATTTGTACAGTCAGCATGTGAGTTTTAGAATTGGAACAAAGCACCAATTATTTTTGAAGAAATTTAGTACCTAAATAAATTAAGTACAGTCACTACTAGTCGCATGCTATTAGGTAGTGCTATTTCAACACAAATATTTTTAAGATTATTAAACAATAGATTTTTTTCTTTTTGAAATTACCCTTTTTAAGCACTAAGTTAAATTTTTGTTTAGAAACAACTCAAAAAAACAGAATCAAAATTGTTAACTTGAAGCAGCTGATTACCTTTAGTTAACTGCCGATTACGGTGATTAGGACGATTGACAGTACCCAAAGAATCCTCTAGAGCTAAGAGAAAAAGATTAACTCTATTAGTTTTTTACTAAAAAGTGTTTTTCTCTTGAAAAATTATTAATTTTTAAAATTATTGCTGTGTTATACAGTAAAAACGGATCATTGACAATACAACATGCATTTAACCTTTTTATTTACAAATTTAAATACTCGTTAAATACGTTTAAATACATGTTACTACTTGAGTACTTCTTTTATGAACAGAAATATTTGTTGGTATATGATAGACGCCATAGAGTTGTGAAATATTACGTACAGATTGTAAGGAAAGGGAATTTTCTCTTAAACATTAAAAAAAGATTATTTTACACCAAGTTATTTCCCAAGTTCAAACCCCTGAAGCACTTCCATTTCTGAAATTAAAACAATCTAGATTACAAGACAATCTACCACTGGCCCCATAACAAGCATGCAAAAGCACATTTCCCAAGGCAGTTCAAGAATATGGATTATACATTTGCTATTGAGAGTTATTAGTTCTGCGGCATTATATGACCATTTGTCATTAATATAGATAAAAAATCAGAGGTAAGTTCTATGAATAATATATACAGTCTGTGTACAAACATGCAGACAGACAGGAAATCATTTTTGACCCAGGTTTATACAATGTTTTTTATTGTTTTGTTTTAAGGAACAAAATACACAGACTGTATGCACCAGTTTGTATGCACCCTGTATAATATACGTAGACTTTAATGTCAAAAGTATTTTATTAAGTTATTACTGCTTTAAAAAACAAAATATTATATTGTTTTACCTCACAATTAATTGAGTCGCTAGCTTGAACAACATCATAATAATTAGTGACTAATTATTATGATGTTGTTCTGGTGTCCATTTTAGACAAATCTTAGGGTTATGTATACAATTGGTTATTGTTTTTATATGAAAATTTTATTTCAGAGAGACATATCTCTAAGCCACCCAATGTGAACTGAATGAACAGATTAAAAAACAAAAAGGGCAAAAAAGTAATAAAATCTGCGCTGCAATAGGGTAAAATCCTGGTCTTAGGCCTATCACTCACATATTTAGATGGAGTGAAAATAATTTTAACTGACAGATTAGATTAACACTTGCATTTGCTACACATAAAGTTGATAACACTCACTTGAGGACACTGGAAGATGATGATCCCTGTGATCCGTGACTGTCCAACCATGAGAGCCCACCCAGACAAACCGGTTGTCCACCTTCATCCTCCTAGTTGACTCTACCAACCGCAACACAACCGTCGGCTTCTCAGCAAACACAACCACAACTACGAGGCCAAACAAACAGTGGTTACTCTTTATCAAACATTGAATGAGGAAAAGTTGTTGTTTCTCTCTGCAAGGTGACTTTGCAGAAAAAGAATGAACGATGTAAGAAAAAGAATGAAATATTTAAGATTGAAAGATTTACTGAAATATTTTCAGGTACCTTTAGCGTGAGAGTTGTTAGCGAGTCGCTCTACAATGCGGTCGTAGTCCAAGTCACTGAAGTGCTCCTTACTCACACGCAGAGGAGTAGAGAAGCAAACACCGTAGGTTGGAGCTAGCTGTTGTAGAGTCTCGTAGCCTTGGTTGCCGTACTCGCTGTCTGAGTAGACGATGGATACATACGTCCAGTTGAACCTTCTGGGAAACATGTTCAACTATATGAAGAAGTATCATACTCGGGGTTTCTTGTGAAGGAAATCTACCATTAGTCTACTATTCCTATTGGGTTCATTTAGTTCTCAACTAACATGAAATAACTCACTTATTCGGTTTCACTAATAGTATGAGAAATTTTTTAAAATTTGGTTTTCTACCATCCTATGGGCTACATTGTATACAATACAATCTAAATTTGATAAAGTGTATTTTTGCTGCTAAGAGAATTAAGCTATCCATCTAATCTTCTCCCTCCAGTCAGTGTAGGGTTTACTCTGCAGGTGGAAGAACAGTCTATGGCAAAACCATTTTTACCAAGATTTATTGTATTTTGTCTTGGAATCCCACATCAATGTAGACTCTATTATGGTCGCCAGGGTACCGTGCCACATCACTAACAAGATGTGCTAATGTTTCGGCTGAACGCCATTTTTAGAGTAATAACAGAAGACTATTGTTTTATAAGATGACAGCACTGTGTAAGGAGAGCAAAATGTCAGAACACTATGTTCATGAACTGACACAAGTCTAGTTAGTCTGAAGACTTTGATAGTGTTACTAAGTGCGAGACTGCAGAAGCATTTTCTTCTAAGATCAATATTGATTGTTTGTTCCTAAAAAAAAATTAAAAATACGAGGCATGTTTTTTAAGTAAGTACCGTTTTTAAATTTCTCCGTTCCAGCACTGCGATTGGCATTTTGGACATTTGCGCTGTATATGTGCATCTATTGGCTAGCTCTAGCCGGAAATTCGACAAAAATCGGCCCTTTTTACATCCGGTTTCGAGCAATTCAAAATGGTGCCGCCAAATGAAACTGCCGCCGACTGTGAAGTTGTGGTGAAGTGCGCGCTGTAATTAGATTTTTAAGTGCTAAAGGTGTGAAATCCATTGAAATTTTTTCGACAGATTAGTGAGGTGTATGGCGAGAACATTATGAGTAACGGAATGGTACGCAAGTGGGTAAGGGCATCTAAAGACGGCGCCACCAACGTTCATGATGAGCAACACACTGGGTACTGGGGACATTGACGCCGCCCAGTGCGTTGCTCATGATGGACGTTGGTGGGGCTGTCTTTAGATGCCCATACCCACTTGCGTACCATTCCGTCACTCATAATGTTCTCGCCCACTCATCTGTCGATAAATTTCAATGGATTTTAAACCTTTAGCACTTAAAAATCTAATTACAGCGCGCACTTCACAGTCGGCGGCAGTCTCATTTGGCGGCACCATTTTGAATTGCTCGAAACCGGATGTAAACAGGGCCGATTTTTGTTGAATTTCCGGCTAGGGCTAGCCAATAGATGCTCATATACAGCGCAAATGCCCAAAATGCCAATCGCAGTGCTGGAACGGAGAAATTTAAAAACTGTACTTACTTAAAAAACATGCCTCGTAATTATTGAAGATTAATGTTACACACACCTTATCAGTTCCAGCATCGCGTTGGCCTGGTTGACATCGCTGGGAACTGTGCGGAAGAAGGTGGGAAAACGGTCTGGGTTGCTGAGGGCCGGTGATGTCGCCATGTAGCTAACTATTGGTGTCTTGAACAGCCTCAACATCGTAGCTATCTGGGAAAGGAGAAATAATGGTTTTAAATTGACCTGCAAGCTCAACCTTTTCAACTAAAAATTACCTTAAATGTTAAGTCATCTTCAATGACAGTACGAATTGGACTAGTCTAGATTCCTACCTGCATGGTAACAGCACTTGATTGTTCGCCTAGCAGAGCCACGACTTTATCGAAATTACCTCCTCTGTACATTGGAGCTGTATTGTCTTCACAGACAAACTCTTTAGGGTGGTCAGTGTGGTACTCATTGGCATTGAAATGAGCTATGAAGCCTGAAAATAAATTGCATTGTCATTTATATGAACAAATAAATATACTAAACAGTTCCAGGATTTTATCGCAAAGATTCTTTTTGAATTGATACTTTGCTACTAATAAATAGTTTCACTATGGTTAAGAACACTAACCCGTGAGATCTATGTATTATGTACCACTTTTTGGAACTTTACAAAAAAAAAAAAAACATACAGAAACTTGGCTCAACAATGACTGCATACTCCTTTTTCTCCATAGATGATCTCTCCTGGTATTTATAACCTTGAGACATCTTTCAAGTCTTTCTTTCATTTGTAAAAGCTATAATCAGTGTTTTAGTTTTTTTCAGAACAGTCTAGAGCAAAAACTTAGCAAAGTCTTACATCTTGTTTTACGATTTCCATCAAGGACCTTGGGCAGTCGACTTCCAGGAAGATCGCTTGTTCTTCAATACATTGTCCCTTCAAGATCGTATTCTCTAAAATTTTTATTACCAGTGTATTTACCTTTTATGAAGTCCAGTGACTGCTCCAAAGCGTAGGCTGGACTATCACAAGTGTCATAAGCTATCACTCCAAGTTTTACTCCAGGAAGGAGTTCCTCATTTTCATTGATTTCATTGACTATAAACAGCATAGCTTCCAACATTTGCAGTCCTTCTTCTACCTACAACACAAAACATGTTTGTCTCACTGTTGAGGTACCAATAATTCAAGTAGTTAAATGACCGTAAAACAACATGATAAGCAAATCAGTGAACAGATAAACAAAACTAAATTCTCACCCACTGATTTACATAAAAAATTTGTTAATTATAATCATGCTTTCATTGTAAAAGTCGATTACTTTAATATTCATCCTGAACGTCTTTCATCTTATTTTATATGTTTTCAAATCATCTTCTATATTGTTACTCAAGGGTTTAGGGTCTGCCACTATGCTCCTATGGCTATAATGTTTCAATATTAATTTGAGAAAAGGATTAGCAATTCCTTTTGATAGTAATAGAATTCGATACCGTACTTTAAAGTTGCAGTTGACCCAAGAAAAGAGATACAAACGATTAATGATATCGCACAATTATTTATGTAACATAAATAATTACCTAACCCCAACTGTCACCTATGTTTCAGTTCGGCCCTTCTAGGGGCTTTTCTAGAAGAAATTAGTGGAAGAAGTCAACTGCCTTGAACTTTTATCTTAGACAAGTAAGTTGTGTATGTATTCTTTCTTCCTTACGCTGTCCAGGCCAATTATGTTTTACTCAAAAAATCAACCAACAATTCAACGATTTACAAGTCAAAGTAGTTCTAATATTGCTGATTTTCACCAAACAACAGTTTTTCTATATAAAACAATGGTTTACATAGTAAAATACAGTGCTAAAGAAGAGAAGTACCCCAACAAAAGACTCTAGAGCTGTGAAACTTACAATGAGGTTTCATAACTATTTTACCTGTATACCTCCACACTCTGTGACGCCCCTGCCGTTGCCATGGACAGGAAACAGTCCTCCCAGCATGATGTCCCCAGAGGTGTTGAGGTAGGTGTACCTAGCGAGGACGGCCACGGGGCAACCGGAGGTCAGGAAGAGGAGAAGCGTCAGAGTCATCTCTAGAAAGAGATTTCACGGTCAGAAACTGGAGTCCAGAAATAAAGCTCAAACTGTCTCGCATCAACTTTGACAGCCTCTCTGCCTGAGTCCCGTATCGCATAACGGGATTAATTGATGCAGTAAGTGGCGGGCTTCATCACAAAGTGTTTGGTTTATAAACTGCTATGAGTCAATTTTTTTTACAAAATCAAATTAAAATTAATAAATTGGTTGGATGTGATGTAACACAATTCTCTGTAGAAACATGAATAGCTACTGTACACAGTATATAAAGTTTTAAATACAAATTTTTATTGGGATATTTTATTGTGATTCATAATATTATTTGTAAATGATTGCTCATTTGCTGCTATTGAGGAGCATGTGAGAATTAAAATGCAATTATACCATTTACATAAAAATTTATTTGATGTTGGTTTGACACAGACAATGCTAAACCCATGATGAAATTATTTTCTGAAGGATACATTTTTAACAATTAACAAGCAAAACAAATACAAATTTTAAGCAAACAAATTTATGTATTTTTAAAAATAAAATAATTTCTGCTCTTCGTAATATTTTTTACTGTAACTTCACCTAGGGAAAGCATTACAAAGTTAGATAACAAATGTATATAGAACTAAAATGTATATGTAAGTACAAAACGTGTAAATAGCTATGAGCATAAATGAGCTATGAGCTTGGCCATATTATGTTTTACGAATTTAACCTCTTCAGGGAGTAAGGCTCATATGGGTACATTAACTTTATTTCAATTTTTTTGTATTATTCTCAAACACCCACATTTGTACAGTGGTTACTATTGGTTACATTAACTTCTCAAAAGTTGGTAGCACTGATTCCTTTCCTTCCCACATGTTTCTAAGGCAATGAAATATTCAGTTGAAAGGGACACTGTGTGAGGTTATGTTTGAATCAGTGAATTTGCGAACTTTGATGTGTTCTGAAACCCATTTATAATGTACATATACACTTAATAATTTTTGTTTATGATATTTTATGCTTTCACCTTTCAAATAATATTTAGTTTACTACATTATCTTTTAAAACGAAACCAGAAATTTGATTTTAATATCTGTACTCATTTGCGTACAAATCTCAAATGTCTTTGAATCTCAAAAAACGTCCCTGAAGAGGTTAAAATACATTAGATTAGAATCTCCAAGTGCGTCTCAACAATGGAATCATACCAATATTAATGGCAGGCAAGAATAACTGACAAGCTGATGAAGAAGAAGAAGCTAGTTATGCATGTAGTACAAGAGTCATAACATGATCAGCAAACAGAAAATGACCGCAGACAGGCAATAAAGGGTCCATTGGTCGTTATTGGAAGGTCACATTCACCGGGCAGTGTTTTTAGCTGGGTAAATATCTCTCTCAAAACAAAACAGTGGTGGTAAAAATCTTACCGTACAAATAAAACTTTTTAAATTTATGATTATTTGATTTTATTTTAATCAGTTTATAAGCAAATATTTTTTAAATAAACTTTTTTGAAACTAATTCAATCTTATCGGCAATTATTGCAAGCAAATTACCTACAAAGTTAAAAAATCTTGACGGCCAAGACAATTAGCCTAAATTTATTGCATTTTAAACTCTGTGACTAACAGGCCAGCATTACACATCTTTGATTGATGTATAACATTTTGTTAAAAAAATTACTTTGAAAAGTTCTTTGGGGTTGATGAAGTATTGTGGCAAATTTGAACGGAAATAAATAAAGTATATGGCTTCAAGTGAGGAGAAATTTGGGGTCAATAGGAGTTGGGATTTCATTTTTATTTCTGTTTGGCAAATTAGTGGCAGCCTGGGATTCAGTGATGTCTCTAGGTGCATCTTTGTGGTTCTAAAAGGGGGTTTTCTTTTTTCTGCAGACTCAGTACAACATTCTGGATTTAAAACATTTTCATATTGGGTTATTAGTAAAAAACATAATTTATGTACAGTAGTTGAGTTATGTCTTAATTGTTATTGTTATGTCAAATTAATATTGTGTCTCAAAGAAAGATAGAAAAATCTAGGATGTTTTGAGAAGATAGGTGTCAAAGATTGTAGGGTTTTGATTGCACTATTTCCAATACTAAATTATTTTCATAACATCCAATTAATAACTAGATATCTTGGCCAAATTTTGTTTTCTTTAGCATACAAAAATTATTATTGGACCAATATAGATTGGAGAAAGGTGTCAAAAACTATAAAAACACTACAATAAACTAGTATTTTAAATATTTTATTTTACCATCTACTGTGATTATTTTTAATATAAGTTTTTCAAGTTAAGTAAGGAGTACGCCATTATGATTGTAGAATAAGGTGACCAGATATGTAAAGGTTAGTGTGGTGAAGGTAGTTTATTGAAGATCTGTCCAAGGTCTGGCCAATTGTTGAGGTCAGGTCAAGTCAACACAATTTCAATCAGAGAATGATTCAAGTAGTGCAAGAGAGTATTAATCTTGTTTTGCAATAGAATAACTTTTATGGGTTTTAGCATAATTTTACTCAGCCTCGTGGCAAGTACAATGCTTAATTTTTGGGCTCCTTATTAAAGGTATATTTATTAATTTTATACAACTGTGAAATTAAATTGCAAACCATTGCTTGTTTAGCCGTCATATAAATAGTTGTGTGGGCCAGAAGTTTAGCAAATTTCAAAAACACTAGTGATGTAGCATATACAAAGAAGTATAGTTTTATTTTGTCCAAAATGTCTAGTTGATTGCAATAGTTTCGCTGTCACTTTTGTTGGAAATTGGAGATGCTCTTTGAAATTATTTTGTTATATACACAAAACCAAAAACATTATACGTGAGATTGTCTGAAAGAGCTCACGCATGCTTACATATTATTCATTTGCCATATTACTCCAGGGGTTTATACAAAGGGTGGAGGCTGCCAGGGGTAGCAGAATACTCTAAACAACACTGTCAAATAATAGACAACAACAGGAACCCTACTGTGCTACAGATCCTTCCTAACTGTCTTCAATTGAGGTGGATCATAGCATCTACAGTCTTCAACCTACAACATAGCTTTAGCTAAGTAATGTTAGGGATTACCGTGGTAATTGTTAATCACGATTAGGTACAAAACTTAATACCAATAATCACTATGTTTTGAAAAATTTGTTAAAATAATTTGTTGAATTTTTGTATTCAACAAATTGACCCTTAAATATTTATTTTTATAGGCATATTAGGTATAGATTTAAAGCACTTATTCTGTAGATTTGCCTTTTGTGGATTTGAATTATATCCCCTTCGTCCTTTAGGATTTTAAAATTTCAGTGTTTGTGCTGAATTATGTTGTCAATTATCTGAACTTTTAAAGTTTACATTTGATCACATCAAAACTGATGGCTATGATACAATTTTGTTCACATCCATACAAAAATGGGGTTATCGTTACAGTTGGTGATGTTTTAGTGAATTCAAGTAAAATATTGTTACGTTATTGTATATGTAAAAAAAAAGAAAACGCATTTGAGTAAAATCTTGGATTGAATACACATTTTGGAACTGTAAAATAGAAAAAGGGAAAGTGAACTAAATTGTTTCATTAATTAATAACATAAACTGATAATAGAAAGTATAAAGGATACTACGGATGGATGACGGCAACTTGAGACTTAAAACCTTCAGGGAAAATAAGTCTAATATCACGTAAGGTTTTACGCAATCTGGAAGCTTTAAAACTCAGTTGGTTTTTTAACCTAATTATTTTATTTGTGAATAAGTTAGAACAGGTTTTAATTAGTATCGAATTTAGGGAATACAGGAATGTTAGTTTAAATTTGTTTGGTGCTTAAATTTTCCTGAAGTAGGCAGAGTAAGCAGAAGGCATTTTGGGTTTCATCGACAGACACACAAACAGGCAGTTTCCCTAGATGGAACGTGAAACATAACCGTTGATTCTACATAATGTTTTGAGCCACCACGCAGCCAGCTAGGGGTGAAGACCTGAAAGTAAGCCCTCTTGTATGAATGGATAAAATTTAATTTATTAGAGTGTTTCATACCAATTAATATTTTTACAACTCGTGACAGTCCAAAAAAAAATAGCAGAATCAAACAAAAACTGGGAAATAAAAAATCAACGATTATTGACCCCGGATATTGTAATAAGTCCTCTTAAAAGTGCGGGGTTTTGTCCGAAAGATTCTGAATCAACAACTTAACGGATTTTTATGTTTCTGGAATGAAAGATAATTTTAAGAGGAAAGGAATGTCGAAGCCAAAACATTAATTAAAAAAAAGTCTATCAGCCGATGCTAACAGTCTAGATTAGCTTTTGGCATAATAAACCATTTGAATAACACATCTGCAAAAATTCAGCCTTTCAATGTCTGCTGGATGACACAAATTCAGCATTTGGATTAAGATGACATAATTATGTTTTGTTGACTTAATTATGCTATGTGTACTGCCACAATTATTGATACATTAAGTACGGTAAGATGATGATATTTAAATAATAAAAGCCTAGCTAAGTCTAGTCTTAAAGTAAAATGTGAAACATGATTTGGTTGTGTTTTACGTTTGATGTCTACTTAACCTTTTACTATGATTTTACGTTGAAGTTTAGTACAGTATGTACCTTACTCTTTGCAGTACCAGAGGATAAGCAATATTTAATTATTCGACAATTTAGTAACCAAAATAAACAGAAGACATCAACGCAATCTAGAATTACTAGGTGACATAAACATTCCCTAACTTTATGATCCATAATAGAGCATGTTTAGTAAATGGTTGATGGTTGCCGTTTGGCCTTGTCGTCATATTATCCACATTTTTTTTCGCGAGTAAAATAAGTTTACCAATTTAGCTATTGTATTGTCGCATGAATTTGCGCGCCCTTACTTCTACGCGCACGAGGAGCGCGCAACGCTGACTCTTGGTATCGGCAAGTATTATTATTGTACAATATATTACAATACTTTTGTTTATTGACAGTTCATACTCAGCTTGTAAAACATGATATACGTGATTAAAATACAGAAAATACAACCTCACATGTGGGAGCACTTAACATAAATGAACAAAACAACAACCGAGATGAGCTTTTGAAATTAAATGAAAGCGTAAATTTGTGTGCAATATTCACTAAAATATTACTAAAAATATAGGAAACACAATCCTCTTATTTGATAAATATTGAATACTGAAAAAAATTGATCAAATTTGATCAACGTAAATACCATGGTAATTTTTTTATAAACTACAAAAGACTATTAATTACGTTTCAGAGATTTAGTCAGTTAAACTTACCTACTAATTGTAGTAACAAAAAATTACACAAGCTAACTATGAAAACTTAACCTCCTTTTGTTTAATGTTCACTTCATCAACCATAGCAAAATGTGATTAAAACTTCAACTTCAAAATTCTAATTCACCTTGACTTGTCAAGGTAGTAAAGCGTTAAGCCAATGACGTATTATCAGTAATCTCACCTTATACCAGTAGCAAGGTGGGTGTTATCTGCACGGAGCGCCGCACAGGTCTAAACTGACTCACAACCTCGACTGTGATGCGTCAGTGATCCAAGAACACCACACTATCAGCTGATATTGCTTGTACTGAGATGGGAGTCGGCAATACACCAACAGCACTCAGAGTGTATACACTTCGCAATCTATCGATTTGTTTATACCTTCTGCGAACAGTTTTCAGAAACGCTATTTTTTCTACTATAGCTAACAATGTATGTATAAAATTTGGCGTAGCAATTATTTTAATAAAAATGTTAAATACTTTTAATACTTAATTTAAAATTCACAAAATTCCGTTTAAATCTATAACGAGAAGACAACAACAACTAGCTTTTGTTGGCCCATCTATCTAGTATCATAAAAAAATATGGAGTCTGTCTGTGTGTTTGTATGAGATACACTCAAAAACTACTGAACCGATTTGGCACAAATTGTACAAAAATAATGCTACCGCTCCGAGGATACATATAGAACTATTCCCCCTTCGATATTGAACGCGCGCGTACAGATTGGCCAATGGTTTAAGGGTCGTTTCTAACATACAGATTGACCAAAGGTCCTAATGAGCAGGGGCAAAAAATGGGGGCGGAGCTTACAACAGCGATGTGTGTGGGGAAGGAGCTTGGCTATTCAAGTTAACTGTTTGTTAACGTTTTCTAATCTTACCAGATACAGAGGTGGTCTCTTTAATGCTATTGGATATCGTAGAACCAACTTGTGTAGTTGAAAAAGCTGACATTTTTTAATTCATTTTAAATATAAACTAGGTGTAAGCCCGTCCTACGTACGGGAATTCAGTAGTCAGTTAAAACCGTGTACAATCCAGATCAGCTAGTTTACACATATAAAGACAAAGTTTCTTGCAGTTTTAATGTGAAAAATCATCTTGTAAACAAATGTTGTGTGACCAAATATGTTTTTATTCCATCATAGGCCTATACGATATGCATTTTAAATCCGATAATTTTACAATAAAACAGCAATTCTGCAATTTTTACGATGTGAAAAGCGTTGAAGTGAGATTTGCAGCCGATTCGCACAGACGCACACTGATTATAAGTACATAGCCTACAGTAGAGAGAGTAATAGTCAATTGAGAAGTGTATAGACCTAGTCAACAATACCGCCTTCCATAGCATACCTGCCTCTTCCATAATTATTATCACCACAATACAACTACTATACACAATTTCCAGTAGGTCTGAATAGAAACGACCTAAAATAAAACGATAATATCCAATAAAATTCACAGTACACATAATTTAACTTTGGTGTCCTAAAATCAAAACTAATCGTCACACCTATCCTTTAAATCAATTTCACTGCATTAATTGCTAAATAAATAAGAGTAAACAAAGAAAAGTAAAAACAATAACAGTTTATTTTGAAACAGCTGTTTGGTTCAAATAACATTCATTTGAAAAAAAGAACTGGTCACATGTAGCAGGAATATAAAAAGTAAACACGCTAGTAAAGCTAATGACGTAATTGTCAATGTTTATTATCCATACCGTTATCAGTTCTATCCTTGATAAATACCCACCCTCATTGAATAAATGTACATCGTAATTTCCCATATTAGTTAATTTAAACTACAATATATTCATAGTTGAAATAAAAGTGATATTTTCACGTTTGGGGGCGCTGATATAGGCACCCCCAAACGTAACCACAACTGAACACGATTTCATTAAAGGATGGTTTGTCTAATTGCAGTATCCTAGGTCAATGTTGACGTTGTGTTCATCTATGTCATCCATCTGTTTATCTTTGTTAAAAACCCGGCTGAGGTTGTGGTGGTAATTTAAAATCGTGATTCCTGATTATTCTTGATCTTCTTTTTATGACATCAATATTTTCGGGCCATATCCAAACAAAGTTAAAGCAGACAAACATTAATTGTAAACAAAAAGCTACCATGAAGAATTAAAACATGTAAACATTGTTATTTTTCTATTCTTTCCTTGAAAAGTGGAGTAGTAAAATAATTTGCATTTATCCTTTTTATTAAGACTCGTGTACAGAGCCTCGATTTGTACTGTGGTTTAATTAATTTTGGTCTAAACTATTTTAAACTTTGGTCTAATTATCTCTACTAATCTTACTTATTTCCTATAATCAATGACAAAATAAGAGTAAATAAAATAACCTAATAGTTCCATAGTTTATATTTAACCAGCTGTTAGTTAAAACAAATTATATTGCTCTAAAACAAATCAAAGATTACAAAGATTGCTTTAAAAAATAATTTGAACATCCTAGTATTTTACTATGTATATTTAATTAATCTGTCGTCCTCTTACAGAAGAATTGAACGTATCAATGATTAGCATTACACATAGTATAAATAAGTCAACCCTAAGTATGTCTCTAAATGTTTATCCAAATGCTGAATTTGTGACACAAAAGCTGAATGTTTACAGCTGTTATGTTAAGCAAATTATTTATGCCAAAATTTAGTTTAAAATCTTAGCGTCGGCTGCTAGACTTTTTAAAAATTAAAACTCAATTTCTAAAAAACTGGGACCCTAAACTAAAATTATGGCTTCGACATTCCCTAGTTCTCAAAATTATCTTTCTTTCAACACAAAAATCATGAAAATCCGTCGAGTGGTTGATTCGGAATCGTGAAATAAAAAACACAGTTTCGTTTTAATATTATAGATACTCTTAAGGTTAACATGGGAAACTATGGAGCCATTGGGGCAGAGCCCGAAATGATTTTTGGGATAAGAATACGTCTAGATATGTTAATCGGGAATGTGAGCTATCTTCATACCAAATTTCAACCCGATCCGACCAGTAGTTAATATGTGATTGGATATCAAACAAACGAACAAACTCACAAAAGTTCACAATATTAGTACTACGATATATTGTACTTTTTAAGGGTGAAAACATGATGTCTCATCATATCTCTATTATTTTCATTGCGTGCGCGATCTCTTCAAGGCAACTTCAGAAAGATTAATAATACTAATGACACATGCTATGAAAACAAAAAATCTAACGTAAACCATTTTCTTCTTTACATTTTATACAAAACTAGCTGTTGTACCCGTGCTTTGCAACGGGAAAAGGACACAAAATAGAAACATTTTAATCTTTACATCTGTTGCATATAATAGTTACACATCCGCAAACGCTTTTAGAAACAAAATTCAACTTTTATGGCCTTCAACTTACTCGCTTCGCTCGTTGCACAACTTTCACCTGCGTGATGTAAAAACGCTCTTACTACACTTGTAATGTAAATAGCTATTACTATTTGAGTTTGTGTAAACATAACCCCCAAGACAGAGCGTTTTAGTATGGTTGTATCTTAAATTTGTGTATTTATCGTTGTTTTGTGTCGCTATGACGGATCGTGTTAGCATGATTGTAACTTAAATTTGTGCATTTATCGTTGTTTTGTGTAGCTATAATTTGTTTATTTGTTGTTTTATTCTTTTAAATGCCTCCGACGCGAATACAACGACACATATAGACAGGAGGCGTAATCGTGATAACGACCGCAGCTACAGAACAGTGGCGCGTAGGCTTAACAGTCAGCACCTGACCCTGGACAATCTCAACTATTAGGTTACAAATGCGCCCTAACACTACCCCAAAACGACTTTTCGTTCTCAATTGGCCCTCTATCAATCCTCTATGGACCTGTGTTGCCTGTACAGCGAGGCATTTTAAGAAGGAGAAAACCGGCCGGAATGCTTTAGGTTTATCAATAACGAAGATAAACATGGTCTGAGTTACACACCGGTAATCTTTGAGTTGACTCTTTTAAAACTCATTGTAAATATGACTGTTACGGTATTCGTTTTGAAATAACTCCTGTAATACTTTGCAATTGCTCGAATTTGAGCAACATGTACACTAGTTCAGGTTATTTCACTTCCAATGGAATATCTTTTTCCTTTTGTTAAAATACTACTCCTATAATGAATATTGCTAGATTGGTTTTGTGAACTTAAAAATGAACATCGTGTGCGAAATACTAAGACAGATATTCAAGGTAATTTTCAAACAATGGGTATACACATAAAAACGTGAATGCTTATGTTTTGAATCTTGAAAGAACACTTCAGGACTTTTAAATGGTAACATTATCCTTATTGCTATAACTAGGTCAAACAAACTAACAATTTCGTAACCAATTCGACCTCCCAAAAAATGTACTTTGTGTACAGTACTTGAAAAGAAATTGATAGTGAGTTAATAAGCAATTAGTTAGATTTTATAGCCTATTATTTGTATTAGAATGCCGCACTGTTTTGTTTAAGCTACAGTTGAATGTAAAAACCTCATTTGTTTACTTAACAGTTTACATAAAACTTAGTGTTTTAAAAAGTAAAATTCGTCTCTTGAGTTTGGCCACCTCTGTGACTGGTAAGATTAGAAAAAGTTAACAAACACTTGACTTGAATAGCCAAGCTCCTCCCCCACGGGACATCGCTGCTGTAAGCTCCGCCCCCATTTTTTGCCCCTGCTCATTAGGACCTTTGGTCAATCTGTATGTTAGAAACGACCCTTAAACCATTGGCCAATCTGTATGTGGCCTATTGAACTAGGTCTCTGCCCCGCGGGCTCTCAAAATTCTGAGGTGAGAGATTTAAAAGTATATATTGATTGGTCTCCATGGTAACAAAGTACAAACCCACAAAGTTTAAATGTAAACAAGCATTTTAAATTTCCACACAGCTGGTTCAAACATATTAAATACTGCACAGATAATAAAACAGAAAGGGCATGGATCATAAACATAAAATAATAATGTCACTAGCCCGAATGTAAACATTATTTAACATTACTTTAATGGAACTGTCAAACCATGTATAGGATTCTTTCATAATTCGCTCATTTTTCTTACATACTGACCCCGTTGCAAGGCACGGGTATAGCTGCTGGTTGTTGAATAATTCAATTAAGCTATTGTGGTGTCCACTAAAGTCAAAATGTTTGTTTAACTGGTAGCGGTTATTCGTAGCTATCTCAAATATACGTTAGTAACTAAATGAAATATTTTGTTTTAAT